AAACTGAACAGACGTACCGAAATCGTAGTTCTAGTAGAAGTCAAAACTTTTCTCACGTACCGTTTTACAACGAAGAAACTATATGCACGAATTCCGATATCAAATGAATGAAAGTTAACTCGATTAATTTTATTGTAAACAAATATCGCGCGTTTTAACTTTCCGAGTTGCTTTTTGTAAAGGATTAAAATTAGTTATGAACAGTTTTTAGGCCGCTGTTCAAACCATTAATGGCACATTTGCAACCAAAACTTCGTTTCTCCTGGCAACGAAAGTGATTCGAGAGATATAGCAGAGATAGGAAAATCCGGACCTCGCTTAGAACCAATCATATTGCAGGATTCGTTACCGTGCCCTCTACAATTACGATTTCGGTACGTCTGTTTAATGTTCTCTACATAGAAGATGGGCCGTTATATGGGTCCCATCTGTTAGTCACCGTGGGTTAAAGAGTTTAGATTCTTCTCAACTTGAAGTATACCAAAGTGGAAAAAGCTTCATTAGCTATGGAAAAAATGATTCCTCCCACAGAGCTGATTAAATAAATAAATAATTAAATAAATACGTAAATTGAAGCTCCCCCTTAGGGGATTTTCAGCCACAATGTAAACTAGCTAAGTGCTTAAAAATCTCCACTGGCAGGAGGCAGACCAGTGGGTTATTTACAGAGCGCAACCGAGGAGTGGAACTAGGGGCAACCGAGAGCAAATCTAGTGACTGGTAGGATGGAGGATTTGAACCCTGGACACCGGGTAATTAATATACATATAACCTAAAGATGCTTAGATTTTAACATCGTTGTCACATTTCACGTGATTATCACAAAAGAAGACAATGGAGGAAGTGAAAAGTTTGATTTTATCCAGCTATTTTGTTCCTTTCCTGGTGTGACTTTAGATACCTTGTGTATTTCTTGTTTGTTTGGCAAAAGGGAAAACAACACTGGCAACAACGATATTAACAATCATTCATTCAACAATTCAAACTTTTTTCAACACAACTCCAAGCTTACCATCAAGTTTTGAGCAGGAGAGTGGCATTTAAGAATAGATGTGTGTTATTCACCACACGGAAGGGTACAGACAGAGAGTACAGAAAGAGGGCACGGTTTTCCCACTACGGAACGACATAGGCTGGTGAATAACATTTTTATTTTTTCTAAAAATTTAACGAAATGCTTGCCAAAAGAATCCGAATGACTTAGGCCAGCAGGATCCTCCATAAACTCAGTTTATGAGTTTATGGTGGATCAACTTTTAAACGAGTGGATGTTAGTGATAACAGAGGTATTCAAAATAATAGAGACGGGCTTCACAGAAAAATTTTTATGTGCGTTAAGATAAAAGTGATTTAAAAGGTTTCCAAACAAACTTTGAAAGCTTTTTTTGTTTTTTTACAAGTATCTGTCACGATCTGATCCTTATCAATAAAAGAGAGCATAGGAATAAAAAGCGCAAGTGCACTTTTGAAAAGAATAAAAATACTCAAGTTCCATGACCGCCACGACAAATTTTCCTTAAAAAACAGTCAGGAATCTCACGAAAGTATTATTTACTTCCATGGACGATTAATCTACGAGGATTTACCTCTGCTCAGTCAGTAAATGGAAATGAAAGTAATTGTAAGTAAATTCAAATATGTGTTTTGAAGTTGTGCGAGTTTACTCGTTTGTTTGTTGCAATGGAGTAAGTAAATGTGGTCAATTTCCACCAAAACACAGAAGTCCAAAGAGACGCTTTACTGACTAGAACCAAGAGGATCAAAAGCACTATTTTGTCGTTGAATTCCTCCAGTTTCTCTTGCGCAATATACCGTACAAATCTCCAAACTGAACAGACGTACCGAAATCGTAATTCTAGTAGAAGTCAAAACTTTTCTCACGTACCGTTTTACAATGAAGAAACTATATGCGCGAATTCCGATATCAAATGAATGAAAGTTACCTCGATTAATTTTATTGTAAACAAATATCGCGTGTTTTAACTTTCCGAGTTGCTTTTTGTAAAGGATTAAAATTAATTATGAACAGTTTTTAGGCCGCTTTNACTCTTGTACTGCTTGTATTCGCATTGCAACCGCAAGTTCAATAGTTGTAAATTTCACTCAATTACCGTTGATGTTTTCGGTTCTCAAAACTTGCCGTTTGAATTTCCCAAAATTTTATTTCATAAATTGAAAGAAAAAGGATTGCGTTTTCTCTGGAATAGCATTTGCACAACGAAAGCCATATACCATGAAGGTTTTTTGCCGTTGAAAAATGGCAAAATTGATAGTCACGATGAAACCGTTTTAGGGCCTGATTAGATGAGCCGAGCTGGCCCAGTTAGCAGGGGTGATTTCTTTTGTTTTCACGCTTTGGCGAATACCAAAACAAAAGAAATCAGCCCGGCTAACAGGGCCAGCCCGCCTCATGGAATCAGGCCCGTAGAGGGTGATTTTGAAAAAAAATTTAAAAATTCAGATTGGAATCTTTTGAAATTACAACAACGTTTTCATACAAAGGAAGGGTAATAAAGTCATCTTATATCGTAATAGTCATGGTATTTGATTCCGTTTCTATTCATCGCGCGATTTTTTTAAGAACACTTTTCGGTGGTTTAAGGGCCTCTCGGAGGTGAAAATTCAAAATTTTTTTTTTTTTGGAAAATATCAATCACAAGAAACTGAATCTTGTATTTTCTAAAATTTTTTTATGAGGGCTTTAATGTGACAAAGTTTGGGAGATTTCGATTTTTCCATCTTTTTTTTTGCCTCCTGGTTAGCTCAATGAATAGAGCGCTGGGCTGTTGTGGGAGGTCGTTTTTTTGCGTCCCGGCCGGACCAACACTCAAGGTCTTAAAATAATTAAGAAAAATATTTTTTTTTTCTATCATCATACTCTAGTCTTCTCGGATAGGGAGGAATAAATGAAGGTCCCGTCTTCTGCAGGGGTTAGGGGTAGGAGACGATAATTATTTCCCACGCACGATATTTTTTTGTGATGGATGTCCTCCCCTGGGGTGGGATGGGTGGGTGGGGTTGGTTTAGTTTTTTTAACCTAGTAGGGGACTACGTGTCCTATTGTTCTCTCACCTGTACACTATACAAATCTATAAAAACAAAACAAAAATAAAACAAAACAGCTATCCATGGTATTTACAGAAAGTCACTCTTAAAAATCCCCACTGGCAGGAGGCAGATCAGTGGGCTATTTACAGATTTTTTTAGTGGAGTGGAACTAGGGGCAATCGAGAACAAATCCAGTTAGTGGCAGGATTTTTTTAGAATTTGAACCCAGGACACAGGATTACAAGTCCAGCACCCCAACCACTTGGCCCCGCCGCTTCCTCAATTAAGGGATTTATGGGAAAGTGAGCATTTCCCGTAACTTAAACTCACATAAAGCTTCGCTAAAAACTTTAACAGACGATTTTAGCCATGTATAGTTCGCTTTTTATGGCCATCACGCGACTCGGGAAAGCTAGCCAACTCATTGTTCGTCAACAGACATGGAGCATGAAGCACGATCTCTCTACGATTTGACTGCATGTTCTATCGCATGCAAGTATGTTTGCTAGAGTAGTGTGATTAGATTTGGGCCAAAGTACGTGTTCAGTGGGTTTACAGGCCCGACGCGATTCCTACTGTTTTGGTGACTTGGTTGTTTTCGAACCATGTGACCTTTAGCTGACGAGCATGTCTTTTAGCGATTTTCCGCTTTTATACGAAATTGTCGGAAGCTCTTTGCGAATCTCCCGAGGCTTTGGTTGCTTCTTAATAATGTGCCAGTTGCTCAATAAATGATTTTTAAGGTTGAACACAGATGGGTTACATTGTGTAACAAAATTTTTTTAATGCGGTTAGTCACACTTGGTTTCTCTACTGGAGTGTTGTTTTCCTGTTTTTTTTTTTTCCTGTTAAAATTAACCTCGACGAGAGATCTTTCAACTAGATCATTTGTTTTTTTTCTTCCATGCAATCGCGACTTGAAGTGTCCGATGTTCTCTTCAAAGATTGTTTTTGAGGAGTTCATTCTAAGAAGCAAGAGGGCTTCTCCTTCCATAAGTCCTTTAGTTTTTTTAGGAAGTGAATGACGTGTATTGAAAAGTTTTAGTAGCTTTGAAATGAGTGTTTTTTTGTATGTCAAGGATACTGATTCTTCGTTGAATCTTTTGCCTTTGAAAATCATTTTTTTCAGGAAGTTTACATTTTCTTCTGCTATATAAGTCGTGAGTTTACAAGTGAGATGACGCCTGTTGCGACAATTAAGACGTCGATTTCTTTTTTTATTTTTTGTCTCCTTTTTTTTGATGATGGAGCTTGTGCTGACTATTTGTTTTTTTTTTTTTAGACTAAGAGTTTTTTTAATTTTCTTTTCTTGTCTAAACATAAATATGTTGGCAAAGGCAACTGCCTTTTTTGTGGCCATAGTGGTACGATCTGTTTGGAATCGAAGGAGGTCTCCCTCAGTAGAAGTCTTACTTAGGAGTCTAAGAAGTTCTCTAAGCAAGTGTTTCTTCATTATGATTTTTTTTTTTGTTTTTAGTTCTATGAACGCTTTATTTAACTGGCAGGTTTTGTTCCGGCTTTTTTTCTTCGATGTGTACGATTTCCGTTTTCGTCTACTTCGGAAAATTTTTCAGAGCAGCTAATGGCTGTGTTGGCGGTTGCCACTTGATTTAACGTGGAAGGGATATGGTTCTTTATGAACACTATGGAAGATATATTTGATTTTGGTTTGAAAGGATGAATAAACCGTTTTTTTCGAGAATTTACTTTTGAGTGATCTGAGCGGCTTTAAACCAAAATGAAATATTTTTTTACATTAAAGATAGGAAAAATTGTTATGGCTAAATTTTTACAACTAACGGTTTTTTTTTGTCAATTTTTGCTACTAACGGCTAAATGTTTGGGCTTTCACGGTTAACCTTTTTTTGACTTTCTAATAAGTGCCCCCGTGTGTGGAAAAGTTTAACTTTGGATGCCACTTTGGTGACCTTACAGACTTGTAAGAATTTATGACCTTTGATACAATCTGGCAAAGGAGTACATAGGGTTGATTTTCAAATCTCTGAGTTATTTTCATCGTCAGGTCAGTCGGAAACCGTAACCGCTAATCTACTGAAAGTTACCGAGTGTTGTGTGAAATCAAAGCAATTTTTTTAACAGCAGAGGTTGAGGTAAGTCTGAGGATTTTCCCTTTCAGTTTATTTCACTCCCATTGCAACGGTCTTGGAATCGTCCAGAAAGAGTTCTCGGTGTTTACGAGTATTCTTTTCAATTTTTTGCCAAGCCGGGGTTACGCATTGGGGAGTGAAGAGCAGAAACTTTTTTTTTTCCCACTCTTTTTTAGCCCAATAAATCAAGTATCATCAACAAGTTCTTTTTTTTTGTACTCATGATTCAATTTTTTAACTATATTTCGAGGGTCTCAATGGGTTGTTTTTTTTTTGGTTAATTTGAGGCTTACGGTTGAAATATTTTCATCGTTGTCTCCAGAAATTTTTTGCCCCTTTAACTTTTTTTTACCACTAACAGTTGAAATCTGTCAATTCGTACGTTTAAAAGCATAAGTTTTTGGCCGTTTTACGGCCAATGGTTTAACCCATCGAGACGCTAACGTATGTATGTACGCTCATTCACGTGATTCACCGTCCTATAGTTTCCTGATTTTTTTTAATTTAACTGCTGAATGATAGCTGATTGGTGGCTCCCCCTTCACCTCCTATTAATTTCAAACACAATGAAGCTGACCTTTATAACAGTGCTATTTTAAGTTGTCTGATGAGTTTGTATAAAAAACGCGTCTAGTACAGTATACCGTTACGTAGCATTGTCCTTTTTTGTGCTTTCCCAGTTATTACGATACCTCGAGCCCTTTTTATTTCCTTCATCGTGAGCATGCGCAGTTTCATTCCGATCGCTTTAGCAAATAAACCTTCAATTAGTTTATGTTTTTTTTTCATAAAACGACACGAATTTTAAAAAATGGAAAACGTTTTGGTATATAGTTTTTTTTTCTTTAACGTCAGCTGCCAAAACCCTCAAAACATTAGGATTATCACGCGACTCGAAATCTCTCGACTCAAGTCCACTTATAAACGCAGCTGGATTTCTAAATTATACCTTGTAATTTTATGAGAAAAGTTGGGCAAGTGTTAATTAAGAATGGTCATAAAATCATTTTTTTAATCACGAAAGAAAGATGCGGATTACATTTTTCTACATTATATTCGTTCATTTTTTTCGAAAAAAAGGCTTGATCCGGAAACTTTCCTTTATCACCGAGACATGGTACATCCCTAAATTTTAACCTCGGCGAACCAGAATTTCTTGAAAATTTATTACACATTTTTTTTTTAAAGCGTAGATTTTCTGTCGTGAACAACTTTTAAAAAGAGACTCATTTTATTTTTTTGGAGAATTTCGTTTTACAAGTGCACCATTCTTTGGGGAGGGGGGAGCGGTTTTTTTTCAGCGATAAGTGGGGAGGGGTAAGTGGGGAGTGGTAAGTGGGGAGTGGTATTTTTTTAGTGGTAAGTGGGGAGTGGTAAGTGGGGAGTGGTAAGTGGGGAGTGGTAATTTTTTTGTGGTAAGTGGGGAGTGGTAAGTGGGGAGTGGTAAGTGGGGAGTGGTAAGTTTTTTTCCCTAAGGCTATGTTGTATGCTAATGATCCCCCTCATAGGCAATTGATTTTTTTTTTAATTTTCTCTAGCCCTCACATTATACTTTTACGCGACGACTGATCCCCCCTCCAATCCTTAAACACCCCCCTCCAACCCCGATTTCCCCGGCCATAAAAAGTGACTGATCCCTTGGTGCTTCAAGTGAGAAACTTAAAAAAGTCCCCGTGTGACAAAAGTGTGTTTTTTTTAGGCAGTTAATTAGCAGTCAATTTTCCATAATCCCCCTGGCCCCCCTTTTTTTTTTTACAACTCATTCCCGCTCCGTTGCTCCTGAAAACCTTGTGATCCCCAACAATTTTTTTTTCTCATGGCGACAAATAATGACTGGTATTGCAAGTGAGACACTGCGGAAAAGTCCCAGTGTGGCAATAGTGCGTTTTGTAAGTCTATGATGTTCAGTAATTTCATTTTTTTTTTTTATTCGATCGTTTGGTTCCTCATACAAGCCATTAGATAAGACTCAGACTTTTTTTTTGTTTTGTTTTTGTTTTTTTTCGTTTATGTCTCTGATAAATCCTTTGTCTTTTTTTAAAGATTCCGTCGGAGCCTGAATCTGGGCAGAAGAAACAAAAGAAAGCAATTTTTTTCGGTTTGCTATACCTCATAGATGAGACTCCACCATGGCACATAAGTTTATTGTTGGGTTTCCAGGTAAGAGCAGTTAGAATAGGGCTTTTTTATTACCTTATATTTTTTTTTTTGGAAGTAATGAGAGCTGTTCTTTAATATAATTGATCCTTGCAGAATGCAGTTTTTTTTCACATTAGGAAGATAAATAATGCCCTTCTTGCTCACCCTTTCAGTTCTGTAGAAAGTGGAAACTCGAGGGCTCACCGCAAAGTCGATGGTTTTGGGTTCGACTCCTTTTTTTTGACTAAGAAATGTTCTTTAACCCACGATGGTCACAAAATGAAAATTTTTTTTTTTTTCAAGTCGACCGAGCTCAAAATATGCCATCTTTCTTATTCTGTTTTGAAGATTTTTTTCGTGATTGTGTGACAAGAAAGAACTGAGAAATCTTAAGGTCTCTCTCTGCCGAGGTTTCAAGCCTCAGGCTCTCTTTCCAACCGTAGTATAGAGACTAAGGCACTTACTTTGTTCTTCTGTGTCCAATTTCCCGTATACTGGGAAAATCAGCAAAGTAATAAAGGAGCATACCAAGTGCGGTCATTCTCATGATTGTAAATGTACTTCCTTACCTGAAACCGCTTTTTTGTTCGTCTTTTGTTTTTAGCATTATCTGGCCATGACTGGAGGAACATTGACCACGCCCTTTATTCTCAGCATTCCAATGTGTTTCTCAAACAACACGCTTGTCATTAGCGAAGTTATGAGTACCACGTTCTTTGCTTGTGGCATTGTAACCCTCTTACAGAGTACATTTGGGGTCAGGTTAGTAACAGAACGTTTAGAGAATGTTCGACTGTACACATCATTTTTTTACATACTTTTTGTACTGCGAAATCGATAATTTGCGAATAGGAGAATATGTCCATGGTATCTTGGTTTGCGAAAGAAAATAGCCATAAGAATTTGAACCATGGGGTGTAACTCCCTCGACGAATTCTCGGTTGATGACAGTAAAATTGAGTCGTAAACCTCTATGTTTTTTTCCACAAAGGTAATAACAATAACCTCATCTAACTGGAAAACATATCATTTTAACCATAACACTGTATACTTTCAGGCTCCCAATCGTTCAAGGTGGAACTTTTTCCTTTTTTTTTCCAGCATTTGCCATCTTGTCTCAAGCACAGTGGATATGTCCAAAGACGGATTTTTTTTTATCTTTTTGATTGAAGATATTTCATCTAAGCCGTCTAGGTTTTCTTTACTATTTCTATTCTCATTCTGCTTAAGGTAACGGTTCAATACGCTGATATACCCAGACTAAAAACCTGAATTTCTGACAGAGGTAAACCTTCCTTAAAGCAATCTTGTAGTCTCAGTACTCGTTCGAGACTGCAAACCAGATAAGTATCTATATTAAGTTAAGATTATGTCCGCACACGATTTAAGTGGCATATAATGTCAATTACCACCAAACCTTGTGCCGGTTTTCACAGCAGAATATGGGGGAAGGAATATTTATGTCTCGCTTCGTGATATCACAAAAAGTGTATAGTGATCTGTCCTCAACTTCGACCACGACTTCTCGATCCAGAGTCCCACGAGCTAACCATTAATTTTCCTTTATCTTTGCTTCTTTATTGCAGCAAATGATAATTCAACTGCAAGCCCAATCATTAACAACGATGACATTTGGAAACCTCGAATGAGAGAGGTAACGCTTATAATAAAACGTGTTTACAAACAAATGTTCAAAAATCATTTCTTTTGATGTGTTTTTTTTTTTCTACACACCAAATCACAATTGAATATTTTTCAGCTACTCCCGTTACAATTTTTTTTTCTATGCTCAGTATTTTCAAGTTGAAAATTCATTTCTTCTAGATCCAAGGAGCCATAATGGTTGCATCATTACTTGAAATGTTTATCGGTTTTACCGGACTCATTGGTTTTCTTCTTCGTTTCATTGGACCGCTGACCGTAGCACCCACAATCACCTTGGTGGGTATGGCACTTTTCCCAGTAGCAATGGAACAATCGGGTGAGTTCTTGAAAAATTCCTTTTTTTTTCTCCTGAGAAAAGGACGTACTGCTCTGTTTAAGTTACTTACCTGATCTTCTTTTGGTTATTTCAAAGGATATCATTGGGGAATTTCAATAATGTAAGTTTTTAAGTTTTTTTTACGAAACGACTTTCCATTGGTTAGTTTATGCATTTCTTTGCATCTGGCATGTCTTTTTAGTTTGTTAGACAAGAAAATCTAATATTAAAAAAAATTGACGAAAAATATAGATTTTAAAATATACAATCATAAGGACCACTTTCCTACAGAAAATTATGTGCTTATTTTTTTTATGAAAAATCATAAATAGTGATATATCATGGAATGCAAACTCGTCAATTTTTTTTTCGTCGAGCTGAGATTTATCTTTTAAGGTTTGCGCGCGTGTTATATGCGTATTTTTTTAATGAACTCACCTTGTCTACGTGACAATGGAGTTTGTGTACGTGGGTTAGGCNTTTTCAAGGTATTTAAGAAACATTTCAATTTCATGTGTAGAGCAATTTTCAATGGAATTTCGAAAGTAGTCAGGGGTTTTTTCTTTTGCTTTACGTCGCTCTGTGACTCGTCCAAAAAAACTCGCACCATTGACTCAATTAATCAGATGCACTAAAACCAATCACGACTTGGTCGCTCGCTCGCGCTTCAAGCAGTTTGGTCAGTTTTACTTTGAGTCCTCACTGTCTCTTAGTCTGATCGGTCGTTGTAATTACTTTGGCTTTGGAATTACGGCACCCAATCTTAAAGTGAACTAATGCACCCTGTGATTGTTTCAATTCTTACCGCATGGCTGCTTCACCACTCAGGGACAAAACTTAGTCCAAGAAGAAACCTGTTTTATCTTAACATCTCGTTTGCTGATTGTAAGCATTTGGTTTAGGGTTTTAAGACGTGCATCAGCAAACTTCTCTAATCACTTGTTTCGCTCGCCGTTGATCAGGTGATTCTAGCCGTCGCAGTAGCTTGGATTATCAGCGCCATTATCACTGCGGCCGGCGGCTTTCCTACTGATCCCAGTGTACCTCAGTACAGGGCCAGAAGCGATGTTAGGATTGCTGTGCTGAAAGAGGCTAAGTGGTTTAGAGTTCCGTATCCAGGTTAGAAGTGGGATATCATTGTCTTCTTTTAGTGTTTATTTTTTTTTTTATGATCATTGAAGTTGTACAGAAAGCTAAAACGATTTTGGAAAAAAGCTTGAGGAGAATTCAGTGTGGAATGGAATTCGAACTTTTTCATAAACCGCCTTGCAACTTCCAAACTCTCCAACAAAGAGACAGCTTGTCAATATGTTAGCTGTTTACATCGATAAATGATTTAAATACATTTCTTTCTGTCCTCATTCTTTTTGTGCTCATGGTCACATAATGACCATGTCTGAGTTCTCGTGGTTAAATCGGTGTGATATGCTGGAATCGTAGGCCAGTCACTGAATCTCGTTCGATCGCATCGAGTTTCTCAATCTAAATTTCCACAATTACTTTGACTGCGATGATCTCTTCTCTGTTTGATTTAAATTTCAAAGTTCCAATATGTAATATCCTAAGGTTTCCTTTAAATATAATAAGTTAGAGTACTTTCATCCATTATGGAATTGTGCAATTCATTCCATTACAAAGTACGAAGTAACTGCTTATATCTAGTCTTCGAAGCTTCAGGCTGTGTTTTCAGGTCAGTGGGGAACGCCCACTGTCAGTGCAGCAGGGGTCATTGGGATGTTTGCTGGTGTGATAGCTTCTATCATCGAATCCATCGGAGATTATTACGCATGTGCCAGGATTTCAGGAGCCCCTCCACCGCCAAGACATGCCATCAACCGTGGAATTGGAATGGAAGGAATTGGATGCCTTTTGACTTCATCTTTTGGCACCGGAAACGGAACAACATCATATAGTGAAAATGTTGGAGCTATTGGCATCACAAAGGTAAGAGTCGCCAACGGTAGAAGTTTTGGATCTACGTTTTAGAAAATGTTGAAGACCATTTTGAGATGTTATGGCGGAATTCAAAACTATGTTCCCGTCATTGATAGTCCTTTATTTCTTCTTGGTAGGGTCGACCTTATTGTGCTCCAACGATCCTAGACACTCTTTTCTCATAACAAATGATATGTCTAACAACTTTTTTTTTTTAACTTTATTGACCATGAGGCCATGAGAGCACAAAAACAGTTCCATTTGTTTGAATATGATTGCCCTAAACCAGAGCGTGTGTTATGTAAGTTTGCAGGAACTTGGAAATGATATCAGTTCCACGACCTTTAGTTTTGCCTCTATATTGGAGGAATGAGAACGCTTGTTACGAATGTGAGGTTCAAGTGAAATACACTTTGTTTTTGCAGCATATTTCTGTGGTTGTCGCGGTATCTAAGTCGAATATTTGTATCATTTTTTTTCCCTGTTAGGTTGGCAGTCTCCGTGTGGTCCAGTATGGTGCAATTGTTATGATAGTCGTCGGAGTTTTTGGTAAAGTTGGTGCATTCTTCGTCTGCATCCCAGATCCTATTCTTGGTGGAGTGTTTATGGTCTTGGTTGGAATGATTACTGCTGTTGGAATCTCTAATGTACAATTTGCTGACATGAATTCGCCAAGGAATCTGTTCATTGTTGGATTTTCAATTACATTTGGTATGGCACTGCCACTATATTTGCAAAACCATCCAAATGCAATCCAGACAGGTATGAGTCTCCAATGTCAGTATACCAAAACTGTTTCGTTAAAAAAAGGTTGCGGTTATTCATCGTAGTGAATGCAACTTGTGAGGTAAAATCATGAAGTAAAATCGTTCGTCTCCCGATGAACTCACTTCCAAAGTGGATGACGACATTTCGACTGTGTACTGCGAGACGGTCTTCTTTAGGCGATGACAGCGACATCTATGTCTAGATGCCAACGATCATGAAAACACCACAATTAGCATACCGATAATGAACATTTCTTCAGAATGCACCAATCACATTCGTCGTGGACTAGCAAATCACAGCTTAGCTCATCTGAAAGGTGATGCGTATCCAGTGCATGGACCCAGTCGCCTGAGGAAGACTCACAGTATGCAGTCGTAACCTCCAATCTATTAAAAGTGATGGCGTCTGTTTTAATAAATTTGAAGACAATTTTCGAAATGTTGCGTTTCTCCTTCGAATCATTAAACGTGGCTACAGTCAAGAATTAATATGAACCTTTTGATGGCAGAGATAAGCATCATATGGCGCCAGGAGTATACATCTCGTTTAAAGGTTACGAATACTGACCATAAAAGCTATGGAAAGTCTATGATAAAATCTCCACAATTAATATTATAATTTCTTTGAATAGGAGCCCCAGAATTTGACCAGATCATCACAGTCCTTTTAAAAACAGGCATGGCAGTGGGAGGTATTGTTGCAATAATTCTGGACAATACCATCCCTGGAACCGATGAGGAACGCGGGCTTCTGGCTTGGAGGAAGAGTGCCTCACATGACAATGGCGAAAAGTGTCGCACAGCCTCTATTAAAGTCTATAATCTACCGTTTGGCCTCAATCGCCTCAGCAACTACAAATTTTCCAAGTACCTTCCCTTTTTGCCAAATCTCAAAGACGAAAATGAAATAATAACAAACCAAAACGTAGAATTGGATGAAAATACGAATACTAAACTGTAGAAAATAGGCCAGTCACATATACAGGTTACATGTTTATTTTTTATAACTTTGTTGTAAACGCTGTTGAAGAAGGATAGATAGATAGTAATGGAGGGGTGAAAAAAGAGGGAGGCTTGGGTCGAGTTGCGAAATGAAGTTTACGCGACTCGACTCCATTTTACAAACTTAACGCTGGGAAGAGGGAAGCAAACGCTTGTACATGTACAATGGAATCTCGCCCAGACAAACTGTTGATATCTTAAGTTGTTTAATGACTTATATCAGAATGCAAGTTCAGCAGAAAAGGCGATAACAACTCCATTAAAGCCCAGCGAGATATGATCCTTTCATAAACACTATCAGTTGGGGCAATGTGAATAATCTTTACACACCAGTTAATTTGGAGCTGCACTAGTTTTTATTTTATTTTAATCGCAGTATCTCTGGTAACTGTACGATTTTTACGAGTAAGAAAGGAAATATCTACCTTTCACTTTAACAAGTTGTTACTATAATTTGCATGGTCAAAAAAGGTTTTGGTAACGACATGATTACGTTACATTTATTTTAAAAGGCACATTTTTTTCTTCGAGGATTATCACGGTAATAATTGGGAACAATTGTGAACTGAAATACTCTTTTATATCACTGTGTTAGCAATTTGCTTTGGCGACATATTTACAGCAGAATAAAGTTCGTTCAGTCCACAGCTTGTGTTGCTTTTACTGAATGCATTCTCAAACGAAACTGTGTAAACAATACGTTTCCATTCCATGAAGGAAGCAGAGGAAATTAACAACGTTTCGGACAGGAATCCTCTAGACAGAAAAACAGTGAGATAAGAGGAGTTTTAGCAAGAAGAGATTTTGGAGAGAAGTCTGTGAAAGAAGCACTAAGTATTCAATTATTGAATGAAGGGAGTAAAGTATTGCAGAACTGTGGTGCAGTGTTGGTGGGGGTTTTAACAAGATAATTAGGTTTTATGAATTGAGTTGATAATGTAATTGGCCATTATAAAGAGTTTCTAAAGCTGATGTTTCGAGCGTTAGTCCTTCGTCAGAGCGTCATGTTTAGAAACTCTTCACGATGGCCAATTTCTATTATAATAAAGTCGAATATGACGCACGCTGTCGTTGGTTGAATGAGCGTGCTCTATCAGAGTGCAAAACACGGAGCTGAGCTAAAGCTGTCAAGCCGCCTGCCAATTTGTACTATGTCTGACCATTTCTCGGACTTCTCTCTACCTTTTTCCGTTAATTGAAAGAGAAACTTCGGAACAAGCGAGCCGACAAGTAGCAACAGAAGAACCAAACAAAGGTTCGTAAATATGCCAATCGCCGTAATCGACGTTATTATAAGGTGAGCAGAGACGAAAATTGTCAAAGAAAAAATTGAGTGAATCGTTTTCACGCTCAGTCAAGAAGTGAGGAGAAACACTCGACTACATCTTGTGTTTCTCCCTACCCTTCTTTCGTGCTCTAGCCGCTTCCTGTGTGCTTTGCAACAGAATAGTGCACTATCTATTAATTAGCAACTCTGTTAATAAAACCAAATAATCTTACTGAAATGTTGCGGGTTACAATTTTTAACAACTTTCAATAGGTCACTGAGCGTTTTCCTCTCCGTAGAAGGGGGGAAGATTATTTTCCTGACGGTCACTGAAGTTTTTGTAGGTCTGAACACTGACCGTTTAAAGTTCCTAGGCTTTTAAATCAAGGAACGTGAGAGCTTTTCGTGATCTTGTAATCAGGACCAGCAAAAAAAAAGTTTGAAAGTATAACGCTTTATTTTGAATGGAAACTGAGTATCGAACTCTTAAAGCAGCCTGTTAAAATCAAGCTAAAAGAAGATTGCATTTTCACTTGAACTTGCTTTTAATGACAGTCGAGAGTTTGATTCCACAAAAAAAACAGATTATAGTAACTGAGCTGTTATCCATTCGGATCCTTTTCTTAATGCTTAGTGCAACATTATATGTACGAAAAAGTGCAGAAGTGACACCATCTTATATTTAAACGCATTAGAGCATACCCAACCGTGTCTCGAAGACAGATGGGCGAGGTCTCCCTTTCTAAAGATTTCAAGTAGCATATTCTAACTCAATGTCATGTCTGTCGTCTCGCTCCTTGTGGTTGTACGGTAAAAATGGTATATATTTTGCAGCTTCGCAGTCACCAAGACGTTTTAAAAAAAATGGCAGATCATAGACTCTTATCGAGGCTGTTTGAGAGTTTCCATCGCTTTCATCTGAAATAGTACACCTCCAAGACTTGAGCCCGCGCTCCTCTAAAGTCCCAGGAATAGTGTTGTCTAGAATCAAAGCAGTAATGCAGCCTACTGCCATGCTCGTCTTCATCAGGACTGTCAGGATCTGGTCAACTTCAGTAACGCCTGAGAGGAAGTCAATATGCACGCTTTGTAAAACCACTCGATTACAGATGTTACACATTTATTTGATGCCTCTAACAGCAGTATTCAACTAAAAGACTTTTAAAAGGTGGGGATGATTAAAAGAACAATTCGAGAAAAGCGAAATGAATGCATGCAGGCAGGCCCCCATTCAAACCAGTTTGCAGCTGAGCTGGGCCAGTAATTGCCAGTAGATAAATACATTTGCAGGTGTGGGTAGTTCTTTGAAATTATATCAATCTCCAGTGTCCTCAGCAGTACGTGCTTTGCGTGTATTGAAACGAAACTTCTCGAAACGACAACGAAACCGCTTTTTAATAATTTTGGGCTAAATTACTAAAAGCTTGTTATGCGCATGTGCAGAGATACAGTCAAGACCAAGAACAAGAATCCGAGTTCTAAAGCACGAAAAGAAATTTACAAAGACGAATACCTGTGTCAATAGCGTTAGGATGGTTTTCCATATAGTGAGGTAGAGCCAATCCAAATACGATGGAAAATCCAACAATGAACAGGTTTCTGGAGGAATTCATGTCAGCAAATTGAAGATTTGAGATTCCAACAGCGGCAATCATTCCAAACATGACCATAAAAACTCCACCAACGATGGGGTCTGGAATGCTGACGAATAGAGCTCCAAATTTCCCGACAACGCCAATGATCATGACAATTATCGCCCCATACTGAATCACTCGGCGACTTCCAACCTTAGAAAGATAATAAAAGTAGTGTCAAGTTTTTCAAAACTTAAGCCTGGCGAAGGATTATTGACAATGCAAAGTTAATGTGTCGTGAAAAGAGGAAGAGGATACATGGAACGCTAAAAAACCCACGCAAAAGAGAAAGTAGCTCCTAGAATTGTGGTCTGACTTTCCGAAAATTCCTGAATTGGGGAACCAGCAAAATTCTCTCCCAAAAGTTGTAAATTGTAAACTGTCTAGCCAAAGTCACCCGCAAAGGATTGCAAAACGCGTTAGGGCATACTAATATGGAGATTAATGGAGAATGCGCTTCATAAATGCATCAATATCGCCAGGCAAACTTTCGTGGACTAGTTTTTCGTTCCCTAGAAGAGAGGATTCTTGATCGCTTGCGTCTCAATGATAAGTTCAAGTTTAACACAATTACAGCCTATCGTGTTGGGTGGCACAACAGCAACACAAAATGTTTCCCTTAATACCTTGGTGATTCCAATGGCCCCAATGTTTTCACTGTATGACGTTGTACCATTCCCGGTACCAAAAGCTCCGGCCAGAAGACATCCAATTCCTTCTATTCCAATTCCACGGTTGATGGCGTGTTTTGGGGGTGGAGGTGCTCCTGCCAATCTCGCGCATGCGTAGTAATCACCCACGGACTCGATAACGGATGCCAAAACTCCAGCGAGTATCCCAAAAACGCCTGCGAGACTGACGGTTGGCATTCCCCACTGACCTGAAAAGCGGTCAGCATTCACGAAGATTTCAATTACAATGTAACATACTGAAAATACTAAAATGAAAAAAACATTCTCCCGTCCTGCATCAATAAGCGCTGCTACCAGCGGTGTTGGGTGATTGTGACCCAATAAAAGCGCCGGCCCGATGAGCCACATGGCTCCTAAGTAGGAGGAATGGGGCAGCCATCGAAGAAAGCAATTCATTCCTGATTTTTTTTTACTCTTCCCTGAAAGTTTGATAGTAGTCCTCTATACTCCTGGGTGGAGAGAGGCAGTCAATGTAAGAGTAATGTGTTGTTGTTCAAGAGCAAAACGCAAGTTCGCCCAGCTCTCGAGCCCCGGCCTCTCGACCCAGTACCTAGCGCGCCATAGATTTAGCCACAATGTCTACCAACATCCATGCGCATAAACGTGTAAAGAAAATTCCCCACCTGGGTAAGGAAATCTGAACCACTCTGCTTCTTTTAACACAGTAATTCTTGCATCTGTTCTTGCCTTGTACTGGGGATTGTTTGGATTAGAAGGGAATCCTCCTGCGATAGTGATGACAGCGCAGAGAGCCCACGATACTGCGATTGCCAGAATTATCTGAAAGAAATACGATGAAGAAAGAGAGGGATTATTGATCACGGACAAAGTTACTTTTGTCCGTAATCGTAATTACCGAATGAAACACAAATTGATGAAAGACGTGAAGCATGATAATCCTGTTATCAAAGCTAAGAATCTTTAACTTCTTCTTCACTTACTGGAAATAACCGGAACAAAGGGAAATGGCCAATCCTTAGCCCACCCCTGTAAGCAGGAACTGGAACCTTAACATTGGTGAGGTATTGTGAAAACACAGCTATGAAGACGACAGTCCTAAATCAACAGAGAAAGAAGAGAAAATCTTAACTTAATTAAATTGACAACAGACAGACTAAAACAGAGGCACTGCGAAATCAAACAATCAAAAGGAGCCATGAGCTATATAAACCCAGAAGGACCGTAGATACACTCACGTCATTGAGATTCCCCAATGATTCCCTGTCGGAGAAAAACAGTGAAACGTAGTCATCTTCTATTCTCTTTCTATTCGTTTTCTGAGTTAAAACTTATGAATGAAAACAGAGGAGCTAAAGATACTTGGAACAGAGATATAAGCAATTGATAACTTTTTCCGTGTTTAAATACTCTCACCTAAACACGTGGAGGATTAGGAGAATTCAAGAAAATTATGCAAACCAGAGACGCAGTTGAGGGTCAGCATAACTTTAGAGAATTCTTCCAAACCTCTTGCGATCCCGAGTGTTTAGATTTAAGCTTCGAATCCTCGGCAGTAAATTTGACAGAAAAATACCGTAGTGTTTAAAATATGTGCGTTTTCGTGAACCGTTTGTTATAAACTTCCGTGTTTTTCTTTATTTCCTTGGGATTAGGGGGGAAGAAATTAAATAGCTAAAACCGAAATAAAAATTTGCCAAATTTTTCTCCTTTTGAATATTTTGTCTTTGTATTTAAAATTCCTTTGCGAGTATTGGGAAATCTTTGAGCTTGAAATTTTTCCAAGTTGTGCTGACAAACACGAAAAGTGTGACATCATAACTATGTTCAAATGCTCTCATCTAAACTGGCCACTTGACTAATGAGAACGGGCGTACTTTCTCGATTATTTTACTCAAAGCAAATATACAAACGTCGCCGTTATGAGTAAAGCAATTAAAAATGACGGCCTACCAAACTTACAGCGACATAATTCAGTTTAATCTGTAAACAGAGCCTTATGATTCACTTTAGAACCGCTCTCATTATTATATGTGCAAGTTTCATGGTCTGGGTACAAGAGGGCGTATCTAGTCAACGAGGAAAGGTCATATCACAAGATTTACCTATCAAAAATACTGATATTTCGTTGGTTATGGATGAAACATCCACGAGAAGACACACAGGGCTTGCACTGTCAGTATCTCTGAGAGCTCCATACAACTCCTTATAATAAAATTATAACGGAGTTGTATGGAGCTTTTTTAGCATTAGTCGAAGCGCAGCAGGTGTTGTCGCCTATGATCCTCGCAAGGATCATACATGACAACACCCGCTGCGCCACGACTAACGCTGAAAAAGCTCCATACAATTCCTTATAATCAAATTATAAGGAATTGTATGAAGCTTTCTGGGATACTTACAGTGCAAGCCCTGTGTGTCTTCTATTGAATCGATTATTTCAATGTTTCATATTTACCTGCTTTGTCTGCTGCTACTCTAAAGAGTGCCACACCCACCAACGTGATCGTAGGTGCTATGGTCAGCGGTCCAATGAAACGAAGAAGCAAACCAACGAGGCCAGTGAAGCCGATAAAGATTTGAAATAATGACGAGACCATTATGGCGCCTTGGATCTGATGGAGAGCAGGAGATAATAGCAAAAGGTCAAAGGTTGAAATAAAGACACCGAAGTGCGCATAATACACTGCTTGTGTTGTTAAGTGGCTGAGTGTCTGACCGACCGACAGACCGGCGACCAACCGCCTGACAGACCGACCGATCGATTTACTGAATGATTCACCGAGCGACCGACTAATCAACTGACAGACTGGTTGATATATTTCCAGAAATATGCTTGTCAAAATCCATCAATTATAAATAAACACACTTAGTCGGAACAACATGTCAAAAAGACTACGAGCGGTTCTTTCATTCCGGTAAGTCCGTTGAATAATAAAATAAAAAAATAAATAAGAAAAAAAAAATAAATAAAAATTGTGGTAGCGCACCCCGCTAACATCAATTTATTTTTATTTTTTTTAATTCCTGCGACGGATTTCGCCGAAAAGGAGAAACTACTCGTAGTCTACAATGTCAAATGTTGGATTCATCAGTCACCTCTCTCATACGAGGCTTCCAAATCTCATTGTCGGTAGTTGAATTACCACCTCCTGTGAAGGAAAACAAGATGAAACTTGTATCAGAGATGATCCTCCGTGAAACACTACGTCTATTTCAATTTGAAGACAACATAAATGAAACAGGCTGTTTTCATGAAAATGTTACCACAGCAACTGTGAGTGATTTACCGTTTTCGAAATAGGTTTCAGAATGCTCAGATCCATAAAGAGACCCGTTCTCAGGGATTAACGCCGTGTAATGGTTGCAAGTTGTTGTCAAGCAAGCACTCGGAGAGACAACGTCCACTCGCGCCTTAAGAACACTTAAGTAAGGAGGAGTGTGAACCACTTGTGCCCTAAGAACAAGTGCGTTAGAGAGGGTAGATTGAAACCCTCGTTCCAGGTTAAATAAAGCATCAGCTGGAAATTTTCTTCGGTTTTGTAGATTTTGTTTGTTTCCTTCTTTCTGCGCAAAAGACGAGTAGAAAATTGAAAAACACTTAAAATTTAACAACAAAGCTCAATCGATATTTTGATACGAAACTTTCTTATCTTGCCTTGAATCCCAATTAATATAATCTAATTAGAAATACAAATTGAGGACAGGGACCGACGTTCCATGTGGAGTTGGACCACAAGGAGAACTGAGTTTACAACACGAGGACGAGGTGTAATGGTAAACCTCTGTGAAAAGAGATACAAAAACAGATCTTTTCATTTTTAACTGTTCTCAGTTTACCAACTCCTAATGGGCAACTGGCATAATATCTATCGCAGGTTCGTATAAAAAAGACCATATCTACTTCTACTGTGAGATTTAGTTTCTACTTGGCTTCGTTTAGAGGTTGTCGATCCAGTTTCTCGGTTAGTTTCCAAAAATGCGCAACTAAACTGACCTTCAGTTTTGGGGCAAGTCCACTGCGGCAACGACAAGATGGCGAACGTCGGAGTAATAAAGGCAAATGTCCCACCTTGAACGATCGGTAGTCTTGTGAAAATAAAGAATTAATCATGGCTGAGAAAAATATAAGATAGACTGTCGTATTGCAGATTTAAACAACCGTTTTCTGACTAATACCTTGTTTTTTAGTGGTTTGCGCGCAGCATTTTAGGCCCCGGTTATTCGAAGGTTGGATAACGCTTTTCAATGGATGAATCTCTACCCGGTGGATAGCGCAGTATGTTTCACTTATCCGGCCAATAGCAGTTTATCCGTTGGATAGCGTTGTACCAGTGGGCCCAGACTAAAATTGTTGGAGCCATTCAATGCAGATAGAGTAGTTTAACCATTGGACACAGGCAATAGGATTTAGTATTAGTGTCACACGCTAACTGAAGGCTTTCCCGTTTTCCACGGTGTACAAAATAAACCATTGAATTATGCATGTAAACTTTATCACACAAGAATCCGTTGTAGCAGAATTGGGCGTTTCAGTTATACCTTCCCAACCCCCATAATTGTGTTATGTTTAACGAACCATTCAAACTTTTTCGAGAATGATCAAAAATGTGCTTATGCTATAAAATGGTATACCTCACTCCGACAGTGCTTTGTAGCAAGGTTACAAATCCAGAAACAAAATATATGGTACTCAGTACTTCGCTTATGACAAGTGGGTTATCTGCGAAACACATTGGACCACTGATGATGAAGGGAATGGCCAACGTTGATCCCAGCATGGTCAGGAAATGCTAAAATAACAAGAAAACGAGTAAAAACTCGATAAAACGAATAAACAAAGACTAAGAAAGCAATTTTTATTATAGGGTGGTGCACTTATATCGAGGACCTGATTCATAATGCATGTCACTAGCGTGTTGCCATTCGAGACCAAAAAACGACCACGAGGGAGAATAGAACTCACCAGCCCCCTACCCCCCCCCCAAGTGGAACATGCTCGTTGAAAACTTGGCAGATAACCCCTCTTCGACCTTCTCCCCAACCCCCTTCCGGTGACGGGGCTAGCACTGTAATCTCCTTGGTTTGTAGAAAGTTTTGTAGGGCGGGGAGGGGTAGAGGATTTTGGGCCGGGGGGGATCTCATGGTTTTCAGAGGGAGCGGATGGGGGATACGTCGACGGTAACAGAGTATAAAGGGGGGGCATAAATTTGTCTGCCAATTACCTGCCAATGAGGGGTAATCATAAGAACATAACATAGCCGTATGGGGGGGGGGGGTAAGGGTGAAATCAGGTAAATTCCATCGTAACACAAACAAAATCCTCTAACCCTCCTCGGTCCCGGTGAACAGTCCCTAACAGCCCAACAGAACGAAAGCTGTTGGGCTGACAAGGAGCCAGAAGGAAAAAAATTCAAATGAAAAAAACAAGGAAACTATTTGAAAAGCCGTAATATGCAAGTGATCAAGTGGCGGTTTATCGTAGCTCTGTTGCCATGGGTTGAGAGAAGAGCGCTTATTGCCATTGGCTGAGAGAAGGGCGCACTCCAGCTTCCTGACCAATGACAGACCAAATTTTTCGTGACCGAACACGGTTTGAAGTAGAGCAAAACCAAAAGAACTGCGGGATTACTTTTGACCCTTAATTGAAAATTACCTCATTTGAATGCCTTTTACCTGAAATCCAAGCAACGCGCATATATACCATGGCGGATTTTCGTCAATAAGGTAACTCAAGCCAAGAGGTCTCTTTTTCTTTGCGGTCTCTAACTGCGGTTCAGCATTAGGCACGGATACCTTGGAATGAAGACCAAAAGTTCGATTAATAATACTGGGAAACAAAATGTTTTGTTCCTAGAACAAGTTATCTAATTTAAAATTCATTTCGAAGAACGGAAAGTAAAAGTTATTTACCTTTAAAGTCATCCTAAAGAAAGAGGTCTTGAAGGTGCTAAATTTAAAATGAAGATGAAGTATATTTTGATCGGGAATTCGACATGGAGTCAACTCAAAAACGAAAATAACAAAGGGTTGAAAATTTAAGAAGAGTAATTTCGAGGAAATTCCCGTACTGGATCGATTCCTGTAGGTCATGCAAGCAATCCTCTTCCCTATATATCGATCAAACAAACATAATTGAAACATTCTAATATCCAACTACAAATTGTAGTTGACGTAGAAACATCTATCTTCATGTCAGATTCACGATCACAGTAAGAAAAGGTAACAGGAATTCTACTGGTAAAGTAAGACCGCCAAAGAAATCATAGAAAGTGATCAACTAGCTTATTATAACTCTTTTACTGAACGGCTCATATTAATATATCATTTCCATGCATTTTCCAAATACCAATGTAAGGAAGCTCTTATAACGCTTTCAGGTGAGATCTATTTTTATCGTTTAACAAGAAAGAAGCCCCTTAATTTATTCATGAATATCTTTTTCTTGAGAGACGTCCGCAGAAGGCTTAACCCTCGCCTAATGTCGTGAGTGAAGGCATTTCTGAATGACAAAGAAATTAGCTTTGTTGACGAAAATGACTCAGGAAAAATGTAAACGGTATTTCCTCAGCAACAGTTCACAGGGCGGAAACTGTGACATCTGATTGTGACAGACTTCCTTTATTGACTAAAATCAAGTTAAAATAACTTGTTTCGTGAGAGGCTATGGACTGACCTCATCTTTTTTATCGGTGGAATGGACACATTGTTAGTTTTTTTCAGAGGGTTATATTTTGGGATCCTACAAAGGAGCGCAAATTAGCGATATTGTTTATCGAGCCCTCGGGTTTAATTTCGGTGTTTTCGCCAAAATCGACCACCCCGGGCTGTTGGTGAAAAAATTCATTTATCTCTTCAACCCTTCTCTACTTTTAGATTCCAGAAAAGCGAGCCGACATTTTTCGCGGGGTTTTGACGAAGTGTTCGCTCATCAAAAATACTGGTGAGCTATTTTAGCAACGCGTGATATTGAATCGCATTAATTCACGTTTATTTATGTTCATCCCTATCCAAAATGTTAAAAAAAAATACGTTTGTAGCCTATTGGGATGATTAAATAGCGCTAGTGCGAAGAAACCTTTAGCAGCGCGACGTTCTAAAAGACTTCCTACAGAAGACATTATTCCAATGAATTGGTGTGTTTACCAGACTAATGAGAGGTTTTCAAAGGTTTACCCGACTAATGAGAAAACCAAGAAGGAAAAAGTGGAGAACAATTTTTTATCGACTTCCTTGACAAATGCCACGACCAGTACTAATAAATACTCTCAGAGGTCGAAGTGAGTATATATAAACAGTCGAAACCCTTTAACTGAGGGACCCCTGCTCAGACGACAACCTCGTGATACGATAGACAGTTCTAGTATTCCCTGGGGAAAGCCCATGACAAATTGTCTCAAAAATCAAAACAAGCTTACGTGGACCTGAGCCCGTTACACGTACAAAGTCATCACAGACTCTTTTCAATAAACTGCGTGTTGTAGTTTTACTTCTTTTGGAGAGGTGATGAAACCTCTAATTGACCACCAGTCGATGTCCTTAGTGCCGTAACTGTATGTAGGCGATCTGTCATAACAATGTTGTCCAACTTTGTGTGCAGTTAACAACAGTGTCTATCAAATACGATGGGTTTTGAACATTAATTTCCTTGAAACTGTCAATATCATTCCTTGCAATTCAATATAAGTTTTTGGTAGAGTCCCCAACAAGCCTTACGGTACATACTAAGACACTTTAATCAAGTTTATGTACATTTGTAGGTATGTTTTCAATGCCAGAACCGCGATTTTTAGACAACAAAGGCTGTTTGTACATTACCAACAATTTAGTTGGATTTTAAGCTCTGTCTTCCTTCTTTGATATTTCACTTCTATAAAAAGTGCTATTTTTGACATAAGTAATTCAACACACATAAGGTCATCTCTCATGGTCTCCTCAATGGTTTTATTGACGAGGTTCAACTTTACCAAAAAATATCAATTAATTTTGACCTTTCAGCACGTTGTACTAGAGGACAATTTTGACCCTGGTGGGAATCCTTAACTTAGTCGAGGAGAGTGAAGGGGATCGAACATGGCGATTTTGAAATTCGATTTTTTTCTTTTTTTTCTTTAGCATAACAACCAGACAGCCTGATACGCAGGCAAGAGGGGTCTGCATCACGCAGTGAACAGGAAGCGTGTCTCAGAGTAATAAGTCACTACCGTGGAAGTTTAGAGCGGCTACAACACGAAAGGAGTAATTTTGTTTACAGGGCTCTGATGCCTTCATTTTCATCGAGAACCAAATGGATCACCAGCGTCACTAGCTTAAAAAAAGAACAAACTAGAATAGGAGATCTGGCAGTTATAACTTCACAACTCGAGTTTATTCCTGATCAGAAAAACCCCTTTGATTCAATAAAAGTGGCTAAATTGAACTCTAGCACCGCAGGACTCAGTGCAGGCCAAAAGACCATCAAGAACAGCTAGTTTCATTATGTCTTAATCGTGTAGCATTATGTACACTAGGAGCCCCGACCCTATAGGCCATGAACATCACAATTACATGTAATCTGTCGCTGGTGACTAACCTCGATGTCTTGTTTTTCGTTTCGTTCCATTGCTCTCACACACCCTGGCCTTGATGATTTCCTTTGAAACACAGCTCTGGATGAAGGACTCCCGGTTTATTGCTGAAAGGTTGCATGATCGTAAATATTCAAAGTTTCAGCAACTGGACTAATATTTGTAAATTAAATCAACAAAAAAATGTCAGATGAATGAATTAAGAGTTTTTTGACGCAATCGTTCTCGAATCACCATGGATAACGCACCAAAATAAACTCAAATTCTGACCGAATAATATTTGCTTGTTAAAATATTGAAAGCTTGAAGGAAGGCTTCACTCTAAAGCAGAAAGACTTCATAACTCCGTACCTCAGTCAGTTTATCGAATCTTCTCTCACTCTCGCTAATCGGCTTCGTTGTTACAAACGGCAGATTTCCCAAGTTCTCTGGGGACTCGGTGACGGAATATTCAAAGTTAGCTTACTTGTCAAAACAGCATGTCAAAGCAGACTGAAGTTGTAGAGTGTTTGTTTAATGTGTTTTCAATTATATTAACTCCAGCTCACGCATTCCAATTTTAGATGAAGATCAATAAAGTACGAGTTGAAACCGTGACCATGAAATATTTGGCCGACATTCTTAAATTTCGTCGTTCGCCATCGCTTTTTGATTGCTATTCTAGTTCGTCTAGGTTTGTCAGTGCCTCTTATATGTTTTATATCTCTTTTGTGTCAATATGTTCTCTGAGTGCGTGTAGTGTTGCATGTCGCGAAAACAGACTCAAAAAACAAAGGCGCTGAGTCATAGACATCTTCTCCCCCCCCCCCGCTTAGTTAAACTCAGTTTACTCCTCAATTGACACAGATCCTGAAAATTCAAGATTCAAAACCTATGACATGTACATTCATTTCAAAGAACTTAAGCGTATATTACAATGTATATTACAAGATAATTTGGTTTTCATGGACTGGAACATAATTTGGTTTTAGTGCCGGTTAGCGAGTTTCTAAAGCTGGTCAACTCAGTTGATAACACCAAATTATTCTTCAGTCGATGAAGCCTGGCCGAATGGGATGACTAGGATCTGCAAATTCCCTCATATACCATATATATTTCGCCCGATGCGTTGAACCAACGTTTTTCACTTCGATTCCGGGCCGATTGACTTTTAAATTTTCGGTTGTACTGAGTTATTACAAATTGATAAGCGAATAAACTGAATGCATGTTTTGTTTGTTTATCTCTGGACAGTGATGTTTAGATTTTGACCGAAGCCTTTTTCTGTGTTTGATTTAATTGATATTTGTTCAAACTCAAGTGCTGTCTCAAATTAAATTTATGAAAATTTTTCCAACTTTCGATAAATGCCGAAAACCGAAAAGTAAAGCCAACAAAACAGTAACATGCCAACAAGGGGGCAAACTACCCAAAGCCAGTTCTTTATAATCCAAACGGTATCTGGTATTTTCATCCAAGAGTCTTTTCGTCTAAAGTCTTAGGCCCATTCGTCCTATATCGTCTTTTCGTCAACGTTATAACATTGTTTTAAATGAAGTTGTAACGCGATATATCTTATTAAATAGTGACAAAAATAAAGACTTGCCGTTTTCGCGCGAAAGAAATGAGACTATCAGGCTTGCTGTTAATCGTCTATTGGGCGTAATAGACAACTAAGAGTAACATCAACTGGTGACTGATTCATATCGTTGATGGCATCCAGACCGAAGCGAGTCAACCCACGGGACCACTCTATCAGTGGGATTCAAAGCTTTCGCATGCTTTTCGCAGTGCAAGATGGCGCTCAAACCCTGAAATCGCGCGGCATCCAGAAAGAAGCGACAGAATAGCATGCGTTCTACTATCGTCTAACGCAATAAACGGACAAGACTGCCATAAATATCAAGCGTGTCAAATAGGAGTAACAAAGCAAACTTGAACTGTTTTCCCGAGAACTGCAACCAACATTTCTGCTCTCTGGCTCATTCGTCTGCACTTGGTAGGGGCTTACAAGTTAAACAAGTTCTTCACATCTTCCTCTTCTTACCATATAAAACAGACAAGATATCCGAAAACAAATGATCAAATGCCGTGATGATCGTTTTATTAACTACAAAGACGGCGTACATTTGAAGAAAAAAATTATAACGTACAAAATTTTATTTTTAACATACAAATATTTAACAGTTCCATCTGTCTTAAATTCTATATACAATTGTAAAATATATTTTTAACGAATATTGTTTTGGAGTAATAAAAATAGACTGCTTCCTTTGATGCAACCTATTGGACAAAACGTACATTTTGAACGGTCGTAAATTTAACTTTTGATGCGCAATTTTGTTCCATCTGCTCCTCGGAATTGAAAAGTACTTGCTATATCTTGCTATACACTTCCGAACTTACCAATCAGCGCGCGCGAAAAGCACTATTCATTTGTGTGGTACTGTGTTTACTAATGACCATTGTAAAATTCTGAACATTAGACCGCATTTCGTGATCTTGTAAAAAAACCACACACAAAAAAAAGCAAACTGTATCGTGAGACAAAGAACACCAATTCCAACATTTTACAAATAAACCAAACGAAAAAACTCACCAAAATTTAAACACAAGAATATATTCAATGAATTATGACAATGCAAATTACATTCGAACAGTCCAGTTTAGTTCATATGAACTGTAACCTTAATTTTATGAGTTTTTTTTCGCAGAATTTCTGTTTAAACACTAATACTGATAAATAATTGGCTCCTATGAAACGGTTAGTCACCACTCTTAAATCCAAATCTAGTTCTTTGATGACTGAGATGCCGATTCATGACTGGCAAGTTTCTAGACAGTGTCAAAATAGCATTGTCTAACACACCTTGAAACATTAAAAGACACCTTTTCTCCAGAAGGGATCAGTTCGACAAATTACAAAAATAATTCCATTGTTTTCTCACCTACAAAGTAGATTCTAACACTCGATTCTTCCATCTTAAGTTAGAAAAATTACGATAGGAAATTTTATTTCTTCATAGAAAAAATGTAAGAATGTTCAAAAAATTAATCCTCCAACATTTGTCCTGAAAAGATATCAAAATATTTGAGAGATTTCAAGTGGGTTTAACATGCAGTTACCTTAGCGTACCATTGGTTTCCTTAAACGCTCGAGTTTAGCTCACAGGTGGGTCCAACGGTTCTTTGCGCGCCACTAAATAAATATTACCAACATTTTTCATTTTATTGTAGTTTGTTTAACTAGCAGGCGAACAAACTTGTTTACGAGCTGCCAGTGAACGAGGACGTTCTCTCTTAAGAGGTTGGAGAGTGCGCCCCCGAGCTGCTAAATCTTGGTCTCCCTGTTTTAGGTGGCACTGCTGGGGCCTCAGTGGAGGTTCTCCGCCTGCCGTTACTGATAGACATGCTGAGCCTTTCTTTAAACACCACTTCTGGGGGAGGAGGAGGGAGCTCCACGTCTGCATCTTCCTGAACGTCTGATGTAGGAGGTGGTGGAGGCATTTCTTCCATGGAGGTGGAGAGAAGCCGTGAAGGTGGTGGAAGGAGCGAGTCGCCGAAAAATTCCTGGTCTGATGCGCTAGAAGCGGGTAGAGGCATTCCAGCCTGGTCTGAAACATTTACAGGTGACCGTGGAAACACCTCGTGGTCCGAAGCGCTCGATGAGGTTCGTCGGAACACGATGTTGTCTGAACTTACAGACGAGGTACTGGGTGTCGCTGATTTTGGAGGGACAGGAGGGGGAGGTGGAGAGGTACTTCCGCGCGTGTTCACAGAGTGACACACTCCTACGTCATTGCTAAGTTCTTGGGTGACTCCACGATTTGCCAAGGGTGGGGATGGTGGTGGTGGAGGCGGCGATACACTGCGAGTCCTCTTCGGTTGTTTGAACGAGCTCCTGCCCCTTGGGCTGAGTTCACCACCATTCTGCGCATGTTGTCTGTCCTCGTTCTGGTCTTTCTGTGGCTGTGCAGTTTCCCCCCCTTCTATTTTCTTAGAAAATGACTTCCGAGGTAAAGGCGGTGGATCTAACACCAAATCGTGCTCAGGAACAACAGCTTCTACCGGCTCAGCATCATGAGTCTGACCCATCTCCTCCTGTTCTTCCTCCAGAGGATGCAAGCTGACGTTGTCTATTGTGAAAGGCTTTGGGTCCAGAGTATTAGGCGTAGCAGCTCCCGCACTGTGTGTCGAAGGTGGATCGGGCGAGATGGGTTCCGAAATATTCTGTCGAAACACAAACACAAAACTTGCTTTAGGAGTGAAAGAAAATTGCGGCTTTTGGATTGCGAGATAGGAGAACGGATCTACCATTACATCACTGATACAGAACAGACGTCAAGAAATAATAATAATAATAATAATAATAATAATAATAATAATTATAATTAACAATTTTTTTTATTTTAAAAAATTAAAGATCCTTTCTTTACCATAATCACTAAAAATTTACAAAAATCATGTTAAAAGGCTTAAAATGTCTGATAAAAATCTAAGAAAAGCTATTGGATACACGCTTGGGTTAGTAACGATGATGACAACAACAATAATAATCATAATAATTCGGTTCTCTAGGATGAGACTCGTATCAGACCTAAACTAACTTTGATAACAAAAACGACCTAAATACAAAAATCGAGAAAGGAATTACTAGTTCGTATTGAAAGAATTTCAGAAAACGTGCATCGAAATTATCCTTATAAAAGTAAATTACATAAAAAAAATATATGAGAAGGGAAATGACACTTACTCAGCCTCTAAAAAAACTGTAAAAACAAATTTTAATAATGTCTAGCCTATATTTGCCATAGCATTGTCAATTAAAAAATCTGTATCGAATGTCTCAAACGTTCTTCTCTTCTTTCTTGTACTTCTTAAGCATGAGAAGGCGCATCGTTAGAGCGCAAATGATAATAATTACATTTATATAGCGCAAACCTGTATATGGATATATTCAGTTGCGCTTCACAATATTGTCCAAGTAAAACTACGTTGAAACAACTAAAAACATAAAAGACTATTAAATACTACAAATCCATATACAATCAAAGGAACCAATAGCCTGGTCATTAAAATAGTTAAAAGATAAGACATAAAAAAAAAAAAAAACTATACCTTAGAGTCATACTCGTTCCCTTTCTTCCAGGCATCCGAAAACAAATTTCCAATCTTCTTCGAAGGCTTCTTAGGTTCAATTTTACTCCTGTTGACGGAGAAGCTCATGCTACCTGTAAGGTCAGAATAAAATACTGAGTGTTATGTATTTCAAAATAAATTAATATGAATTGATCTTAGCACGCCGTGCAGATCTCTGAGAGTGCGGCGGTTTTTCTATGATTTTCTTGGATTTCGTCGAAAAGGATGGACCGCTCGTAAAGGCAAGAAGGGTCAAGAGGAAGTCGCAAGAGAAATACCACCTTTTTTCACTCTCTTTCATTTTCCCTGCCAGAGCCTGCCAAGAAGGTTATTCTACTTACCACTGGGGTGGATTGAGGATGTGCCGATTGAATCTTTGATTCTCTGAGACTGGACCTTTGCTTTCATCGAGTGATAATCCTTGGGTGGTTCAGTTTGCAACTGTGATGACGTACAAAATTAATTCAGTCCATTTAGCAGATTAACTAATTCATTCATTCCATGCCCCACCAAATAAACATACTGCGTTGAACCACCTAAAATCGGCTTCTCCAGGTCCTTTCTTTGTCAATGACAGGAGCAGAAAACAATTAGGCCCCACGGTCAATATTTGTAGTTACCGTTGCAATTGCAATATTGTTCAAAAGAATTCGCGACATGAATACCGGTATCAGGAAAGTCACGCTATCTCTGGATATGTCCGCTTTCTTTCACTTGATATTCGCTGACAGGATTTGTCTTAAAGCACACAGGAAACTCCTAAATAATAACAACAATCCCTGAACACTAACCTCAAGTTTGCCATCTGCTTGGTCTGAAATTTGCCCTGCAGTGAAGCTTGATGACCTAGCGAACTTGTTCCTTTCCAATGTGAACGCAAGCTTATCCATCTCGTCCTGTGTGTCAGTATAATCTACCAACATCTTGTAACCGAACTGCAGGAAACAAGGTCACATCAAAATGTCGTCTTTTTCCCGCCATTGATTTTTATCTAGGGTAGGGAGGGGAGGGAGGGGACACACACAACGCTTTCCCAATGCATGACACCCCGTGGTAATACAGAGCTGTGGACCTGTTTATGCTGTATATCTGGACTGATAAAATAACCAACTATTTAACGCGTAAAAATATTGTGCCCAAAAAGAAATGAAAAAAGTCCTTGGCTTCTTTGTTTTTCAGCTTACGTTTACGGAACAGCCAAGAAGTGCTCTCATCTTACAAACATTTTCCTATAATCCTGACATGAATCTCGCAGAAGATTAGCAAAAAGCCTCTTGTTCATGGATAATCCACAAAGCCGTGCAAACGACAATTTTGAAAAGTAATCTGGGTATCCGGTAATCAATGGATTGTAATAGGTCATAATAATAAATACATTCAAACCGCTATACTTCGTCCTAACACTGACGTTTTCTCAGATTTCCCTGACAAATTCAAATCGGGGTTGTCGAATACACTTTCACGGTTTATTTTCCCACAGGCTTCCTCGAAACAGCTGTACCTTCCCACACTGGTGTACAGACAGTAGGCGCGCAAAAAGCAGCCCTTTCCCTTACAAACGCCCATTTCCTCTCGCTCGCTCTCTTCGCTCGTTCGTTTCCACAGAGATAACCTGAATCAGACTAAACACTTCAGCTCAACTCACCTTGGCCAGCCTGATGCCCACCATCCAGCGTTGCATTGTTTTAAGATCTTCTGCGCAAAAACACCGAACAGCTTTCGACTCCAGATCATGGTACTGAGGATGCTGAAAAAAAAAAACCAGTTACAGTCATGTCTTGAAATGTCTTAAAAACGTCCTTTACGGAGTTGCACATTGAACAAACTCTCTTTAGGACAACTTTTTTTGTGTATTCCATACTCATGATCAGTCATTTACTTGAAATATATGTATTCCACAATCTTACACATGTGATCACACCGTTTTCATAACCAAAGAACCTGTTTTGGGATTAACCACAAGTTGTTGTTTTCAAAATTTCACTCCAATACACCACTAATAACACCAATGTCAAAACCTAGGATTGTTGCCAAGTACAAAGATTCACTTTAATCTTATTTTGTAGAGCGCATTTCAACTGAGTGTCGTAAAATAAAAACCGAAGTAATCACAACGGCCAAACACAACAAAGAGGCCGAAATGTCCCGGGAGGCCAATCAGAACTCAAAGTAAAAACAAGCCAACGGCTTCAAAGTGCAGGAGAACTTTTGTATCTGATTGGCTTATTGAGAGACTGGCGCAAATTTTCTGGACCAATTGCTGAGCGAAGTAATGCAAAACCAGTGTAATCTCAAATTACTTTCGTCACCCGATTGAAATTGCCCTATCAAATAATCTACAAAACGATGTTTTCTTGTATTTCCTATAACGAAAGAGCTCATGAGAAGTTCTTCACTGAGCCAAGCTTCGCGATAAATCCTCAAACCTACCTTTAAAACGAAGCAGTGTTCTGTGGGCGCCTTCAGCTTTTTCTTGAATCCAATACCATTATAGATTGAAACATGTTCAAACTTCATCAAGCATACAATGTCACGTGACGACTACAAACAAAAAAAAATGTTTTGTTGGTAATATCGTATGTAACGTGTGAACGCTTTCTTTCGTTTTATCACTGAGGAGTGAAAAAAAAAAAAAAAACCAAACAAACAATCAATAAAGCAGTACAGAGGCCTGGGTTCACAAGACTTAAAAAAATTTTGCAATAACCAAGCCCCATCAAATATAGACACACCAGAAAAAGAAAGACAAACAGATGAAAAGGAGGCATAACTCTGAAAGGATTGATTACATCAATTTATCAGTTAAAATGGTAAAAGCCATTGGAACAGAAGCACGTTCACGTGTATGTAACTATTGTTCACAAGCAAGATCCTCTTTGGGGGATTATCGTAAATAATAGGTAAATACAATAAATGGATTAATAGGGCAGCAGACAGCTGGCGAGCAAAAGAAACTTATGGGACAGAAATATCAAATATACTTAGCCTGCTCCCTTCTGCATTCAATGAAGTTTTTCTTTCCATTTTCTATTGTTTTTTCCTCTCTCTGTACCTCTGTATAGGAACATTTCAGGAATGTAGGAGACGTAATCTTAAGTAATTCAGGAGGAGCCAGCTTAGGCGTTATTGAAAGGATTTAGTGTTACCGAGAACCTTGATAGCGGATTTCCTAAGAATACCCATAATCACCTTAGTTTTTCCCTTTGGTGTATAGTAGATTCCAGATGCTCTGAGCACAAAATAATGCTTTTTCCAAGACTTTTTCCCTTCCTTAAGGTACAAAATACCATCAAGTTCTGGTAGTCTCATGGCATCCTTTTGAAAGAATTCCTGTCAAAAAAGAAAAGGGACACCATTATCAGAAGTGACATCATTTTGGCTTATAAGTTTATTAGGTCTTCCAAAACAATTACTTCCACTGAACACCACCTGCAAATAAAAATTATATGCACAACCCCTCATTGTGTCAATTCTGATTCGATAATTTCCAAACTCTAGGTTGGTGTATTTCATTACATCAGCATAATCATTAATATCCTGACATCCATATCCACATTCTCTATACTGTTTGTGTATTTCCCCAGGTGCTGACGAGAAGAATTGTGTTTACAAATCAAGAGCTTGTTTAGTTGTTGAACATTATCTCAGGGCTGATATTGTTGGAAGAAATTACAAGCTACCTATAGTCATTCTTTGGAGTCAGAGGGTCAAAGTAAAACCAACCTAAACAAGAGCAGTATGTCTAACATCTCAAACAATGTTCTGAGAAAGGATTTCTAACATTTTCAAATAATCAAAACAGCCAGTCCAATCATCATTAAATATATCTTATTAACCAAGCGTGAGGGCCGTACTGGGAGAATATTGGCCTGAGGTCTTGACAGTACGGACCGAGCGCAGCGAGGTCCATACAAAAAAGACCGAGGGCTGATAATTTATTCTTCCAGTACAGTCCCGAGCAAGCTTGGTTAATAAGAGATTTATTATACAACTGAGGTTCAATGGGACACAAGTGCGGTATCATTCGGGACCATTCAGGACAGTGCCCGGTCCAATACTGAGAGAATATTGACCGGCAATAGAGCATTTTGATTGGTTGATTTTAGTTATTGGCCCTCTGACTGCCCGAGTCATGTAATAAACAATAATTATCAAATGACTGATCACCTGCAATAAGATATCTTTACTTTTCTCTGCTAACTGTGCGGCACCTGCTGATGTATCGCTTGTCAGAAGAAATTTCTGCAACAGATTAATTTCATTGAGTAAATAAACTTCAACAGAAGATACATTCAGATCAGTACACAGCTGTACTCTGTTGCAGATCAAGAGAACGGTTAGGTCCTCATTCAAGTTTATAATGTAATTTTGACCTGAAAGCAGCAGAGAATATCAAAGACTGAGGAACCATTTGAGCCCTAAACAAACTGAAATTTCTTAAAAGTCATTTTGACATACCTGTGGATTTCTAAAAAGTGCATATTTTTCTCTTCTGTTGTTAATCACTAGTTTATTCTCTGAATCCCACGGCCAGGACGAAACTACATCCACTACTGATTCATGATCTTCCAGAAGTCGCTCTGAAGAATGCAAATAAATCAAAACAACACACATGAAAACAATACTTACATATGTATCACACTCTGACTTCAGACAACTGTCAGTTCCTTTGCTACCATGCAATTTGCATCAGTGTATTCAAGATAATCAAACAAGAATAGCTGGAAAAGATTCTGCATAGCCATACTGACCTAAAAAGAGCTCAGGAATTCTTTCAATCAGAACCCAGTTGGGATCAGGTTCTGTGTCATTCTTACGCATCATCTTCTTGCACACTTCCCATGCCGTCCAAGTCTGATCAATGGCCACAGTTTTTGATGTTGGATCCTCATCATTGTACACTTTGACTACTAACTTTTTCACTCTAGCTGCCCTGAGTTTCTCCAGAGCTATCCTTATTTTCTCTGCTTTGATCCTTTCATGCTGTTCTTCCTGTAATTATTGATAAAATCACTGCATCATTTCAACCTAGTCTTTGAAATAATTTCCAACTGACAAAGTATTTCAAGATAACATTCACTGTGTTTCATGGTTAACCCTATACATCCTCACATAAACACACGAAAGTACTTTCTCCATACATATATCTTATTAACCAAGCAAGAGGGCCATACTGGGAGAATATCGGCCCGAGGTCTTGACAGTATGGACCTCGCTGCGCTCGGTCCGTACAAAAAAGACCGAGGGCCGATATTCTTCCAGTACGGTCCCGAGCAAGCTTCGTTAATAAGAGATTTATTATACGACTGAAGTTCAAAGGGACACAAATGCGGTATCATTCGGGACCATTCGGGACAGTGCCCGGTCCAATACTTAGAGAATATTGGACCGGCAATAGAGCATTTTGATTGGTTGATTTTAGTTATTGGCCCTCTGACTGCCCGAATCGTGTAATAATGTTCCTTATTCATTTCCTTTATTACTGAGAAGGAGACTGTTCTGAGATATTTCAATGACTTAAAAAGGGAACACAACATCACGACCAACTTCCACTACTCACAGGGGTAAGTTCTCTTGTCTCCTCTTGAACACTTTCCAGACGGCTGCGTACATCAGCTGACACCTAGAAATGTTCAAGTCAACAGCAACACACCTAGTAAGCCCATGTTCCAAGTAAAAATCAAAAAATCAAATAACTTAGCATCATAATTACTAAGGTACATTCCAAAGGACTTAAAGAGAGTGTTTAAAAATACCAAGTAACTTTCACAGTCTTTTTGAGAATTGTGCAAAATATTTAATTCAGCTATTGCCTCATGTGAAAACTACCTTCAAGTAAAAGGTCAGCTAAAGTATGTGTGAAATAATATAATTTATTTATCATGATAGCAATATTAAAACAACACAGAAGCCCTTTCTCAACTTTGGTGATGACTTAAGAGTATGTAGATACTAATTCACAATTATGTTTTACTCAAGATTTTACAAGTCGATTTAAGTCAAATATTTTGGTGGCCAAATGCTAGTTTCAAGTTAGCTCCAAATCCTATTTCAATCTATTTAATGATACTTAATCTAACTAATGAAGGCATATTTAGCAAGATACTGTACAGTACTTTTATTAGAATCTTTATTCAAAATAACCTCATAAATTCATAGGGAATGTAGCAAGGATTTTCATTTTTTAACTACAGTTATCTCTGTATAGCCTGGCTGTCAGTGAATGCTTGCTAAGATAAATTATATTATAGTGCCATGTTCATACAAAAAAAAAAAACAACAGAAAAACGTGCACTGTTTGTTATGTGACTGTTAAAGAACTCCCGGAAGAGCCTGTGGTGCTGAATCACAGCAAGACACCTCAGAAAATGTGCCTCACAACATGAAAACCAAAACAGTCAGTAGAAAGAAATACTGAATACATCTTTTGAGCAAATATTATTTTTCCCTTCATATCAGTAAGAAAATTTTCACACCTTGTGGATAGGAATATTTGAGATCTATAATACCAACAGAATCATTTGACAATACTTGTTCAGATGAGAAGCGACTTGTACAAATTAATAGCTGAGGCAGGCATGAATACAATTACCAGAACAATCAAAGTTGAAATTCTTCCAGGAAAGTGAAATAGAGCCCCACAAACACATCATCTGTGTAACATTATCCTGAAGCTCGGTTAACAAAGCAGCAAATTCTAAAACTTGCTCAAACATCATTAGGATGCTAGCAAATATTTATTAGGAGTTAACTTACTGAGAAAAGCCATCATATGTAATTTATTGCATTGTTAATAAACATTAGTGAGCCATAATTGTTGTTCAGTCACCAGATTAGACAGATGACAATACTTGTGTCTGTTGCCAAAAGAGTGAAAAATTCACAACATACCTTCATTCTGGGTGAGATCGGTGAGTTAATCTTAGGGCTAGAAATTGTCTCTGAAAACATGGAATCTGTTTCACTGGAAGAAGTCATGTCCCTTTCCATAACACACAGATCTTCTAGAAGGGCATCCAAGTCGACTTCACCACTTCCTGTGGGCATAGAGATTTTTGTATCAGTGTTTTAAACTGACACTTATTAATTACTAACAGCATAATAAAAAGAATATTCTTTTCATCATTTTAAGTCAATCATTTGATCAAAATCTTACTAGTATCTGACTGCCTGAGGGATCCTAAGAAAACATGTCAAAGAGAGGAAATTTGAAGAACTGACCACATCAAAGAAAATGCATCATGTGTAGCTTTTGCAGGCTCCAGAAGGACTGAATTAACTATAAGTAGGTTTACAGCTAAAACGTGGCTAAGCTAAATGATCAACACGAAACCTGATGCCATAAAGTATCTTATGTCAAACCCCAAGGGTCAGACTTTGATTGAAGTTGTACATGCAATTACCAATACATGTACACTGCTTGAATGGGCTGTTTTCCCATCACATAGAATAATTCCTGAGGGAAATGTATCTCATGACTTTCTGTTTTAAGAGAAGGAATGGTTGAGAGTAAACATGTACAATGTTTCTGGCTAGAACAACAGTTAAAGTACCGATCAGTTTATGTTTCAAGCTGAGAAAACAAACTGTAGGTGACCTAGAAATCTGATGCTTACAGGACAAAGTGCAAATTACATCACTCTGTCACTCTTACCAGCAAAAATTTTAAAAAAATAACAAATAATTTCTCATATCTGAAAGAATCCACACCAAAACCACAAATAATTCTGGAATGACTACATGGTAAACAGAAGAAGTTTTTTTCCATTTTCTGACTTGAAAGTATCCTTGCCTTTTTTGATAAACATAATAAGATAGTTCCTGTCTTGCACAGATAACGTGTCAATTAGCCCGTCTGGGAGGGTTTGGATAAAACCTACATTTTGTGATTCTCAAAATATGTTTCCAGTCAAAAATGTTTGTTAATAATAAATACAAAAGGTAATTTCATGAAAACAGAGGAACACACAAGAGATCCAGAATACTACACTGCCAGTAGTAGAGCAGGATGTCCAAAAAAAACAAGCTGATACAACTACACAAGTACGTCATGCTGATACTACTAGTTCCTGGGGAAGTACTTGATAATGTAGGATGATAGCAAGGTACAGCACATACAGCATAGCTGAATGTGTAATTCAGTCTTAGATAACGGACTACTATTATAATTATATCCTCATATGCTCATGCATAAAAGAAACAAGAAGTAAACATTATTTAAACACAAGTTTTAGACATTAAGAAGGTCCAAACAAGGTATGCTGGCAAATACAACATATTGCAAAAATTACAAGAGATAAGCCATGTTAATTAATTAGCACAGCAGGCTTTCTTATCTGCTTGATTATAAAGAAGGCCATGTTAATTTGTTACTTAATCTTCCACAAGTGTTTACTTGAATTTTTAGGAATTCACTTTGCACCACACACATTCTGTTGAACTTATATCTAGCATACTGAGAGTGAGGCGATATCCAGCCACTATCTGTGCATGTACTGCACTGGAATAATTTTATCAATTTAACTTCATGATGATACCAGCTTTTTAAAGCTAAATAACTTAGAGCCAAATGAAAGTGGAATGCAATGGTCTTTCTGACTAGCTGCCAATGAGTCAATTCAGATGTGACAAGTATTTTTTAATTATCAGATAAATTTATCTGCAAGGATCATCCTGACACTAATGAAATGAAAGGTATTTAAAACAGTCAAGGAAAGAAAATCATCCCTCTGAAAGTTGAGTGACAAGTAAATAATTGATTGTGGTTTTAGGTTCTGCACAGCTTAATGTACAGGGCATTTAACTGAAATAACCACTGTTTACCTTCATTTTTAAAATATCAGAATTAACATTCAATAAATATTTAATACATGCAGTAGGAATAATTGCTACATTCTCCAAATATGGTCACACACGCACATTTGTTCTGATGAAAGAGAGTTCATCTTGGATCATGTGGCACACCATATCAAAGCTGGACAGGCATAAAGGTTTGGGATTGTATTGCGTTACATCGTTTGGAGAGCAAATTACAGATTTAGTAGCTGTAATCTCCTCTAAAAACACTGTCACACAACAAGCACCCCTAAATTTGGTGTACACACTATTCAGAAGAAAGCTGCATGATATTGGTCCATACTTGTTGAAATAAAACCCCCAAGGTATGGTAGGTAAATTGTTGGTACATGATATTCTTTATAAAGAGACACAGAAAGCCAAGGTCAGACAATGGACTCTTTTATTAGTTTAACTGATCTAATCTTCCTTTAAATATCAGCAGGAAATTTTTCTCCTGTAAAAGTGCAATGTGTTTCACTGGCATGAGGATTAACTGGGTCAGCTGGCAAGAGCTAACTTGAGACTGGAGTTTTTGATCCACAATCACAAAAGTTGGAAGGAACTAATACCCAGTTTAAAGTCCAATCATCAATACTGTTTTGATTATTGTTACATTATTTCTCACTAGCAGAGATGAGGACTGAAACAAAGTAGTATGTCCCAGATCAACAGTCAGCAAATGTGGAAGTCAGGCAGCCAAGATCAGAATGACCAGATATACAAATACACGATGAAGTGCAAACAACATTTGCAATCAACCAAGAAACCCAATCATGGCATCTAGACCCTGAATGTTTCTCCAGTTGGAAAAAGCTTAAAAGAGTTTATGTGTGGGAAGATTGCAGAGTCTTTGAGAAAGAACGTGGAGAATTAAAGCCAAGTGAGACCAGAGAAGCAAAAGTTCACATTTATTAGAAATGTGCCACATGAAGTCTTTTCTGAAGAGCATTCACTCCTTTTTACCAAAAGAAGGTATGTCAAACAACTGCTACACTACCAAAACTTTCGTGCATGCTATGCTGATTTTAAGTACATATTGAGCATAATGCTTGAAACAAAATTAATCTTTAGTAAGTAGATGTAGGTTTAGACAAGTGTGATCATTAGTATCTTTGATTGATATACCTAAGTACAATTTTTTTTTATATTAACATGTTTTTCTGTAGCATTTCACTCAACCTAACAAATGCATGTTACTATTATAATCATAGTAACTGCAATACTTAATCAATATTCACAGCCTGTATACAATTAAACTGTTGCCACACATTCATTATTAATATTAATTTTTAAACTCACCCTCCATAGCACTTATGGAAAATCTGAACTGGTCCTGAGTAAAACAAAGGAGAAAAATATTGTTTGGTTAATTGTGACCAAATTCACTCAGGAAATTAATGATGTAAGATAACTTTTCTTTTTCAAGGACTTACAAAAAGGCTGCCAAAAAAGATAACAAAAATACAGGGAATCAATAAAAATTGTCTGGAACTGAAAAGTCCCTAAGGATTGAGAAAATTAAACCCAACCATAAATGACTAAATGGGGGTTGATAAAAGTTGCTGAATGGAGACATTGGTCGCATGTACAATGTTAGCATAATTATAAGTGCACTTTGGCAGTACAGGTTGAACTGTATGCCAAAAATTACTGTAAGTAGCATATGAATCATTCAGCTCCACTGTCAACATGATTTGTAATATGTAAAATAATAGTTTTATTTAAAGTTATAACACTTGTTGTGGTCTTTACTACAATGAAAAAATATAGCAAATTGAAATGAACTCTCACTTTAATCACTTTTCCTAAAATTCACCACTGTCAAACTAATAGAAAAATTATTCTCTTGACTAGTGAACAAGTTTTTTTGTCTGCCTTAAACTGTTACAGCTTGATCTCTCAGTCAATGGCGTGTAACTCTTACCAGGGGTTGTGAGGGTGGCACATATGGCAGTATGCCTGGGCTCTGTTCATCTTCTGTTGGAAACTGAGATCTTTGTTCAAGTTCCTGCAAAGAAAAGTGAGTGTAAAAAAAAAAAAGAGTCATGGACATGTTCACTGTACAGTACACAGTTGTTTCAAGAAAAGTTGTCAGGAGAAAAGGACAAAAGTGCATTTAATAATCTTGACTTAATTAATAATTTGGATATATCAACAAAGTTGAAATGGTAAATTGGCCACCGTAATGATTACAAAAGCTGACGCTTCAAGTGTTAGCTCTTCATTGGAGCGAATAGAGGAATTGTGGGTTGTGTGTGCTTTTAAAGGCAGAAAATGGAGCTACGCTATTAGTGGGAACATGGCAACAAGAAAAACACAAATAATTTTTTTTTGTTGCCATGTTCCCACCAATAACGTAGCTCCATTTTCTGCCTTTAAAAGCACACACAACCCACAATTCCTCTATTCACTCCAACAAAGGGCTAACGCTCAAAACATCAGCTTTTGTAATCGTTACAGTGGCCAATTTACCATTTCAACTTTGTTGATAAATCCAAGTTATTTCATTACCCCCACCGACGCAGCTCCAAACAGTTTCTTTAGAAACTATCAGCCTTGACTTATTCAAGGTAATCTGGGTATCTACTAATAGTGATCAATCAATTTCAGTTAGTCAAACAAAATTAATATATCAAGTCATCAAACCCACCATGCTTTAAGTCCTGACTGTGACATTAATTTTCTTAAAACAATTTTCTGTGGTTGTCCTGCATGCACCCATGTACTGTAACCTACTTACACGTATCTTGAAACAGAGTTTTTGAAATTTTCAACAATCAGTGATCATACAATAAAATGCTTGTTGACTGAGTTTAGTCAGGCAGGACTGGATAATTTTTGGCTCTAGATCAGGACAAACAAACCATGCTATGCTCGGTCAATAGTGTCATGATTGCAAGCCAAATATTTTACTGTCCGGCCCTTCGACTCAGTCAAAAAAACACACACTTGTAAATAATATTGTCTATTAGGGAAATATTAAAGAAATTTTTTTTTAATTTTTTATACTAGTCTATTACTATCTTCCACAATCATAATTACGTTTACAATAAGAATATTCACAATTAACTGTATAACTGCTATTAGTTAGAGAATGACTAATATGGTTAAATTCAAGAAATGCTCCTATCCCAAGGCTTGCAGTAACATGACAGTCTTACTAATGACTTGCTTCACCTTCCAGGTACAGGTATGAAAAATGTTAGTGTACTCAAAGTGTGACCCTGATCTGAAACTTACTGCATGCATATTTTTCACTTGACATCATTAATATGACAAAATTTAATAAGACAGGGAATTTACCTCTTGGAAAGTCTGCAACTCACTCAACATTTTATCAATATCATCATCATCTTCTTCCTCATCATCATCATCATCATCATCATCATCATCATCGATGCTGTCCTCTGATTTATTTTCCAGTAGGTCATTCTCACTGCTGGCTGGAGTCACTTCAGCACTTTGCTGATGATCACTTCCCTCCTCTTCCATTTCCATAACTGAACTTCTTGATCTGAAATAAACAGATAGTAGCATGCCTAAAGGTTTTTGCTTCTATTAATGCTGCAAAGATAATTAAAAAACAGGTGGATAGCTCAATTTATTTAGGCTGAGGTATCAAACCTTTACAAAAAGCATTTCCATGGCAAAAGAAACAAAAGACAGGTGCAAAATTAAAAGATTTGGGCAGCGATAGCTGGGACACTTTTCAAACGGTGGTGTTTTTTACAGCTGTCAGCTTTCATTTTGTTTTTCCTTTTATATCTAAAAGTGGTAAGACCAGAAGGGTTTAATTAAACAATAGTGAAAAATTATTCCTTGCGAGTATTTGCCTAAGAAGTAAAAACTGAAGGATTCTAAAGGTTTCACCATTATCCAAAAGTTTTATTAATAACTTACAGTCCTCTAGTTCACTGTTCCACCCAACCATAAATTGCAGCCCAGAGTTGATCCAAGATATTTGATTCAAACATCCCAATTAGCAACTGAGCCAATTTTGGCAAACAAGAATATTAAAGAAAATCATCTGTGGTCTTATGAAAATAAGAAGGTAGGGTTAAAGTGTAGACCAAAATTTAATTTTTCATCTAAAATTTTCTACCGAATGACAGTCACATGTGAGTATGCTGTCATAATAATGTCTAATTTATAACATTATAACGAACAACAATTCAGTCAATCAAGCAGTTAAGAAAACAATTTAATGTGGGGATGTTGGATACAATGGTAAATTAAAGTAAATCAACAAACTCACTTCAAAACAGAAACTATTTTAATCAACAAATTTCTTGATAAATTTCAGATGAATGAATGTTTACATAACAGCATCTTCGTGTTGAAAAATTAAGAGTTAATAGTTCACCAGTCAAAGAAACTTGTTCAAGCATGATGTGAAGCAAAACATAAATAATTTTTGTGGATGAAGATCAATTTTAGTCTCTTTATCACTCCTAAAACAAACATTTCTGCACTAGAATAATGATTTACATGTCTTCTCAAGACTGTGCTGAACAGCAAGCTTCGCTAAATTTTCACTTTCCATTAAAACTGAGAGCCAAAGTTCAACAATTTCCCACTGAGAGTAGTAATTCTTAAGAAATGATATGCCGTTAGTATAACTTTAAATTTACTCACTGGAATTTCGAATAGGATGATTGATCACGAGTTCTTGTACCGTCGTAATTATGCGGATTGCATAGGCGTGAAATGAATCAAACCACGCAAACAGAATTAAATTTGCACGATCCCCTATATTTAGTTTATGTTGCAAGGATATTGGAAAGTTTATACTTAATATGGGCAAGCCAAAATAAAAATAAACTTATTATTCATGAAGTTAATCGACCCTATCGTTACAAACTTCTCGCGAATTTCACGTGAGTTTAAAAAAATGGAACAAATTAACGCAATAGCGACGAATTCTCAGGCGGTGAAGAGTCTCGAAGAAGTTAACGGTTGAGCTTATTCGTTCAGTAATACTCACTGTGAATCATCGGTGTATGGAGCCATTGATCCCAACTGGGTACAAAATAACACCAATTTCGGAGCGAACTTTTAAGATTTCTTTCTCCCACCACAACTTAAATTAGCGTTTACTCACTGTCATTACGATTCGTTTAATCTTGGGCGAGAGCATTAAGAAATATAAGATTACGAAAATAGAATAACACATAACCTTAGCAGTACGGATGACCGGATACACGCCCCGTGCGTCAAACTTCGGTGGAATGTGCCAGAATATTACGTGTGAAGCTATGTTAGCACAGTATTATCAACAAAGGAGGGACAGATCTGTGACCATAGACGTAGAATGTACTGTAAAATTCCTCCCTTAAGAAGTGATGAATTCACGTCTCGTAAGCAGGGTCGAGAGTTTCAACTTGCGCTCTCAATCACTTGTTGCGCAACCGTGAGCGTGTCGTCAAAATATAGACTGGAACGAGTGGGCGTATGTTTGAAAAATTTAGATCGGATGGGACTGGAGGAATGAATGGAACGATACTCCGCGATTGCGCAAGCTTAGTCTGGGGGCATCCGACCAACTCGCCCACTCACCAACTCGCCAACGCCAACGCGGAGGACAACGAAGTCCGCCGAATTTTACCAGATATTCCTTGGCTTTTGTTTATTTTGTAACATCTTTGCGTCGTTCAACGCTTCCTTAGAATTGTCCATATATTTAAGTAGTTCCTTTTTAGTTCCTGGCAGGTCCACACCAGCCTTTGGGTTGCCACAAACCGACCTGCCTTAACAAAAATTATATGTATGTATGTATGTATGTATGTATGACGATTTCTTCGGATCGCTTCGAATGATATTCGGAATTAGCACGTGATCACGTCGTTTCCCGATGCTACTTACTTTTTGTTTTAAAGTAATACGTAAGACAATAAGAATCTGACAACCATTTCAAGATGGCGTGTGGAAAAAAAAGGTTTGCCTTACAGAAATGTCTAAAGAGGTGTGAACGGCGCATCATGAGAACCTAGAGTAAACTTTTTTTTTGTTTTTTGTTTTGAAGAGAGATAATTTTGGATACAATGAATATATGAAGTTCATGTATTTTGAACTGCGGTATTAGATACGTATGCTGCACGATCCTCGCAGTAGAGAGCGCTATTTATGCAATAGCGAAAATCAGACCTGAAAAAAAATCAGGCCTGTACGGGATTCGAACCACTGACCTCTGCGATACTAGTGCAGCGCTCTACCAATTGAGCTAACAGGCCAACTGAGAGCAGGCCGTTAAGTTGATTCGTAATAAACCCGTGATGATAAGTCAGATACAATGAATATATGAAGTTCATATATTTTGAACTGCGGTATTAGATACGTATGATGCACGATCCTCGCAGTAGAGAGCGCTATTTATGCAATAGCGAAAATCAGACCTGAAAAAAAATCAGGCCTGTACGGGATTCGAACCACTGACCTCTGCGATACTAGTGCAGCGCTCTACCAATTGAGCTAACAGGCCAACTGAGAGCAGGCCGTTAAGTTGATTCGTAATAAACCCGTGATGATAAGTCAGATACAATGAATATATGAAGTTCATATATTCATTGTATCTGATTTATCATCACGGGTTTATTACGAATCAACTTAACGGCCTGCTCTCAGTTGGCTTGTTAGCTCAATTGGTATCGCACTGGTATCGCAGAGGTCAGTGGTTCGAATCCCGTACAGGCCTGATTTTTTTCAGGTCTGATTTTCGCTATTGCATAAATAGCGCTCTCTACTGCGAGGATCGTGCATCATACGTAGAGATAATTTTACCGTTTGAATCAGGGAGTTATGCCCAGCAGATTCGAAAATATGATTTATCAGTTCTTGACACCGAAAAAAAACGTCTCAAAATAATTTCACAAGGGCGTCTCCGGCACGTAATTAAAATAAGACTTTTCCTTGCAGAAATATCGAAATCGGTTTGATCTACGCATTGTGGAAAGTTTAAAGAGAAATTTGATTTATTCGAAGAGAGCATTTTACCAATTCAATCATCGACAAATTCTCAAAAGAGCCGCTAAATTTGCGAGGTGAGCATGGTCCGAAAAATGATACCTTGAGTTCAGGGACAGTGACCCTTTGCTGGTATGATGGAACGGTGGAATATCCTGCAATGCAGAAAGCCTTGTTGCATGAAACTTGAGTCTCACAAAAATAGAATTGCAATGAAATAATAAATAAAAAATTATAATTAACTGGTAAAAGTAAAATAAAAAGAGGCCAAGTTTAATCATTATTGGAGCATAGAGAATAGACCCAGAGGAAAACAGCGAGGTTTGTGAGCTAGCCCCTATAAGTTATCATTGCTATTATCATATTCTTACTGTTGATACGATTATATGTTACCATTGCATTATTGGTCGAGTGTCAGTTAGTCTTTTTATTCTTGAATCATCTTTCCCTTCTGGAACAGGGTACTCATAACTGACGTGGGATGGGCAGCATGCAGCAGTAGCCATATGCAGTCTCAACTGCCTGTCTTTTAGTTAGGGTTTGATATTTTATGGAGTGATAGTAAAACTTTTGAAGTTTCAACAACGTTTCGTTAACTTTATGCCATTGCAGCCCTAACCGAAGTGTTTGGTAACCGGCATACCGTCACATGCAAACACAGAGACGCTATGGACGCTTTCCAACTGACTTCTGAGACACTTATTACACATTGGAATTTGTTCCGTAAAATATCTTTTATTTTCAGCTTCTTGTTGTGTGTGTTGTGTTATATTTTCACTCAAAAAGTGCCTCACTTCCTTGACGACACAGCCCAACAGGATTTTTGAGAAATTTATTCAAAACCTTTTAAACAAAAATTCACTTCTTTACTTCTACACAGAAAATAAAATTCTTCAAGCGATGGCAACAGCCAGATAAGTTACAGGCCATCTCTAAACTATTGTTTATTTTTTTTTTAATAGAAATAGTCAGAACTCTCCCACACGTGATTTGAATTCTCAGAAAGTCGAGTTATTCCTTTTCAATTTATACATTGTTTTTGCACGCATCAACTTTCGAAACAGATATTTTACGGTCGAGTTTTAGGTGGGTACTACAGTGGAACCCCTCTAAACCGGACCCTTAACAAACCGGAATCCTCCCTTTACCGGACCTTTCTTTCGGCCCCAAAATCTCTGTCAGACATTTTCTCTATTTTTAACCTCAATAAACCGGAACCCCTCAATTCCGGAAACCGGACGCTTTTTTCAGTCCGTAATCACATACTGACAAAGAAATTGACCTCGTTAGGGGCCCGACCATTTAACTCTTGAGGGGGGTGGGGCGGGTGATTTTGAAAAAAAATTTCCTGCAAGCGCTTGTTGGAAGAAAAAAATTGCATGCAGCCGAATAGTAACATAAAAAAAAAGAGCATTTAGAACGGAAAAAATATCCTTCCCAGCAAATTGCTAGGAAAAAAATTCTTAATGACCAGAAATCACCCACCTCAAAAGTTAAATGGTCGGCCCCTTAAACCGGACGCGAAAGTTTTAAGCTTGCCGCCAAAATCAAATTACACGATTTTAAACGTGATTGAAATTAAAATTGCAATCATGCAGCTGTGAAATCTCAATCCGAAGTGAGAAACGCGCATTGGTTAATTACTCATTGTTCTGTCGGTACTGAAGCAAAAAAGTCAAAAATCGTGCGGCTGTTGTTGGGTTGAATGAATGGTTTTCAAATCGTAATTTCTCGCCCTAGAATTGACTTTCAACTAAAATTATTATTGAAAAGGCTTTATTAATCGCTAAAAATTCATATTATAATGAAATAACTGAATTTTTCGGGGCGGTTTCGTAAGAGTGCTCCTTTAAATAAATTTATGAAATAAAATGCAATATGCGCAACGTAATTTTAAAATAGCTCTTTTACCACAGGCGAGACAATAATGTTATATTTATAAAGGCTCGCGCTGCAAATAATTTTTGGGGTTGATCAAATTCTAAAGACTCAACCGTTTTGACAAAGGTTTGCCAAAACGTATTTTTTCTTCGTCGAATACTTGATCAAAATGGCCAGAAAGAATTTAAATGTCTATTTAAAAAATTTGCTCCTTACTTTTAGAAATTACGCATTTCTCTGATACAATGTTTCTGACGATGTTGACTGTCACTCGCTCACGAAATTGTCACAGTTTTCTCTATTGCTCTCTGTCGTACCTATATATGAAGAATCTTCAAGTTTTACTACCACCATTTCTCAAAGTGTATACTGCTTTCCTCGATGTCCATCTTGTATAAAATTTCAGACATACGTTGGATCATTGGGGGAGGACCACAGATGTAACAAATTAATCTTCTCCTGTCCAGAGAGGAGAGAGCTTCCTGAATTCGCGATTCGTCGATACGACCACGTTCACCTACCAATTTAAAAGAGCCCAAAATAAGGCACGGGAATTAACGAGTTTCCAATACTCATAATTTCTAAACGTTTGTAAACCAATAAAAATGTTCTTGTCTTCAAGCGTTTAATCTTGATTCCTGATCGTTTGAACACCACAGTGCGCACTAGCTTCAAATATCAGAAACCAGGTCTCGCTCTATGCATCTTCAGAAATTGGGCCTGATCTGTTGTTAGGTTTGCCAGAGCGCTTTTTCGAAAGAGTGGCGTAAAACCGAAACCAAAGTAATCACAAGGGCCAATCACAAGAAAGGAAAATACAGTTAGGAGTCAATAAGAACTCAAAGTACAAACAACCCAACTGTCTAAACCGCGGGAAAGCGCGGGTGACCAAGGTGTGATTGGTTTTCGTTTTGCGTCTGATTGGTTGGGAGAGTGGCGCGATGTCTCACCACCAATCACAGAGTAGAGTAAAGCAAAACCTATGCAAACTTTCAAAACTCAGTTGCTCACGAAATCCAATGAGACAATGATTGCTAAAGTATTCCGAGTTTGGGCTGCCTGTTGAGCTTGTAGTGTACCCACACCAGGTGCGTTTTTTTACGATCACTTACATTGTGCACTGTTCAAGTTGGTCTGTGGATCAGTTTCTGGTTCTGTGACAAAAAACTTGCTGAGTATAGAAGGGTACTTTCTCGAAATTTCCAAGAAATTTTCCTATAAAAAGGGCAGAATAAGAAACATACGGTCACGGCCGACAAGATAAAAAAAAAAAACAAAACAAAACAAAACAAAACACAATTCCAAAGCTAATTTTAACTTCGGAATAAACAAGGCTATATATTACATAACTCCAAACGTTCCCTTTGAATTTGTAAACAAATACACAGTTTTCTTCTCACAACTCGCAACTATTGATCCGTGACAGATCATTCACAAATTATTGGCTTAAGAAGGGGAGTTGTAAAAATGGGCATGGAGAAATACCGACAGTCTCTCTCATTCCGTTTCTCTCAGTGTTCAATGTTGAACAGTTGCGCATTCCAGGCGGTAAAAGATGGACTATAATCCCTTAAACCCTGTAAGTGACCAATATCTAATTTCTCCTTACCGTGATACCACTGAATCATTCATTACGATCAGGAGAAATTCTCCTTACCAGTGCCAAAGGGAATGTATGAAGAACAGTGTGGAGAATATGCATACTGCTGTTAAGGTGTACAGGGTAAGTGTGGAGAGGCTGCAAGGAATTTGTAAGCTTCATAATTTTTTTGTGTTCAAATTCTTCAGGCAGAAATTCCAGGGAAAATTTCTCAGTCTTAAAAAACATTTGTTATGATTTAAGAGGCAATAATTCAGATAGATTATAGTCCATGAACAAATCACAAATTCCTCTTTTTCCACATTTTACCATGCATTAAAAATTAAATTTTGTTTTCTTTTAAAAAAAATTGTTGCATACCTTGTAGAGCAGTTCATCGTGGTTTTTTGCACTAAACAGGAGCACTGTTTTTCCATTATACTGAGGTGGAGTATCAGAGGAAATGTCAGCAACGTGTTGCACAATGGAATACAATGGGTTTATTCCAACACCACCACCAATCAGAAGCAGATCTGGACTGGGGCCTTCCGGATTTGGATCGAAATAAAATTCTCCCCCAACTTTCATGAGAACTTTACTGCCAACTTGACACTACAATGAAAATAAAGAACACAACTTGATTAAGCGTAAGGTACAACACTGTGTTTTGATTTACCAGGATCTGTATACATGCAACTCAACAAATAATTTTACCAAAACATTTGTATCTTTGGCAAAGTATTAGCACTGTGAACTGATCTTTGGTTAGTGGTGAATCTTCAAGGGAAAAAGATCCACTGATGGCATAAATGTCTACACCATGATAGTTTGCAATGACTATAATTCTAGAAACTTTAATCTTTAATCGAGAATTATTTTGCATGCAGTAAATAGCCTCTAGGAAGACCTTGCTTACCTGCAAGCTTATTATCTCTACCTGATCTCTTAAATTAAAAAAAATCTATCCAACAATTTTTTAACCATTTTCATCCTAACATCACTATTCATATTCCTGGTACTGTTCTCAATATATTTTCTTAGGGTGCCGCCAACGAAGGGAATTTGTCTAACAATCAAGAGCTCCTTCAGTTGGTGACAATTATTTTCTTTATTCTTGTGACCTGAATGTTTGATTCCTCGGTGATATTGTAAGGAGAAATTAGATGCTAGTCATTCTTAGATGTAAAATGCTTACAGTTTGCCTTATTAATAAAGATATTCTGTGCCAGCTAAGCATCCACATTTACGTACTACACACCTTTGTGCAAACCCAAAGTGCTGGAGGATGTTCACTATATTTGACAGCAAGGTCTATGGATCTTTTTTCTTTAAGAAGCCTGGGGCTGGAACATATGGTAAACCCACCCACGGTAGGTACTCCTGGAATAAAGAAATCCACCCTGACGGAGAGGGAAAAAAATAGGTCATGTGATGCAAAAAGTTTGCAGATTTCCCTGCTTGTACATTTTTCTATTTGTCCTTGACCTGCAAAAATAAGTTTTCTGTGGAAAGGAAAACTCCAGACGTAAACTAACCCTTTACAGCTAAGATCAGTATGCAAGTTCCCTATACATTTACTGTCAGTGGTACACTTACAAGGAGAATTTGTCCAACAATCAAGAGCTTCAAGGGCATTATTATTGGAAGAAAATAGATGCTGATCACACTTAGGAAGAAAAAGGTGAAGACTCTTGAAAAATCCTCTTAAAAGCTTTCTAACCTTTCTTTCTTTAGTTAGTTCACTTGATGTTTTGTTCTGAACAGATAATTAAGAAAAAATTAATAATTCCACACGGCTTGACACTAACTTTTCAATGTACTAGCCAAGTGGCTGGTGACATCTTAGATGCTACAACAATGTCAGTTTGTTACTAGCCAAACTGGCTAGTGGAAACCAAAAACCACTAGCCAAAACTGGTCTGTGGCTAGTGGGCTACCGTTAGTGTTGAGCCCTGATTCTATCCCAGCTGAAATTTAAGTTTTCTTAAACTGCAAAAATCTGAAAAATCAACTCACACTAGATTTTCATGTTTAGCAGTAAACAAACCGACAAAGAAAAAATGACAAAGGAAAAGAAAAGGAAAAAAAGGAAAAAGTCTCTCAAACTCATAGTTCACTCAATGCTACTCCAAAATGATTGTTACATGCTGGAATGCAAAATAAGACTAAATAATTGCAAGACTGTACAATTTCTTCACACAACCTATTACAACATGCACCCCCTAAAACTATGACAATGGTTTCAACATACAGTGGTAATGAAGAGATACAGCAGTTCAAATTTTCAGCAGCCATGTTTGGATAAAAGATTAACATTATGTGGTTATGTGTTTAGTCATTAATTTTCTTCAAAGTCAATAAAATATGCATTGCAGAAACTGCACATCATTTCTACACATCCATTTGTTAAAAAACTGCATTGTGGGTGCTTACCATTGTCCACTTTTAAATGCAAATCTGCTGTCTTTAACCTCTAAGGAAAGTCCTTTAACAGTCTTTGACAACTGAGTCATCTCTGTTACTGTGCCTTGTACTAAAAACTGGCAAAAGTAATGGAATAATCATCACTTATGTGAAGTCAAACCCTCACTGCCAGCTAAGTTAATTACACCTACAGTTCTTATGTATGGATGAAAATTATCAAATGGTTGGGAGACACAGTGACTTACCGTACCGCTCAAAAGTAAGTTTCTCGAGACATAATTATCTCGTTTCTCTTGGGACGCATCTTGTTTTATTCGAGTTTTTTCTCATTTCTTGCCAGTGCATTGCAAGTATCCAAGGGTTTGTATTGTTGTGACACACAATGCCACTGTTTTAATACATTAATGTTAGTATTGGGTATTACAATCACTGTTTCATTTTGTTTATTTACAGTGGCCAAACTTTTTTAATTGCACACTCAGTGAGACTTGTTGAACAAGTTATGATCTACTACCCTGGACTCCATGAGAAGAATTTCACGTTCAAGACCTGGCCGGGTCATTGTGTTCTTGGGAAGAAACCTTTCCTTTCACAGTCCTTCTCTTCCTCTCCACCGTGGAGTAATACAAGTACTTAATAGATGACTTTATTACTCAATTATGAGCTCTTGGTGACAACTTACTACTTATTTGAATCTATTTTCAACTAACTTCATCACCTCGTGCCTTGGTGAATGTTCTGTCCTCTCCAGGTGAGAACTGCTGCTTTCAGCTCCATTGGTATGCCCTGACATGAGACGATGTGAATATGGACCACCTGTTTAAAAGAAACTTTGATGCATCAAATAACTAGTAATTTATCCCTTATGACTTAACCGAGACAAACATACGCAAAAGATGCTGAGATAAAATTATACAAAAAAAGTACTACGCATTTTCAAATATTGACACTTCAGTCGTTACAAAGAGGTTTGCTACAACACATAACTAAGTAACAAACTCCATAACTCTGCTCTATAGGAACTTGTTTCTTAGCTTTTTTAGTGTAGAAGGTAAAAATTACTTAAATACACATATGGTTTTGAATCAACTGGTTACTGGATGCATATGGTGTGACAGGAAGCTGACATCTAAGGTAAAACCCTTACATGGGCAGTTGGAGGTCTCTCACTGGCTTTTACTGAAAACCCTGTAATGGTGGAGTGATCTACCCAATCCATCAAACAGTCATTTATCACTGAAAAAGGAAATCCATCAAACCTGAAGTTGTTTTGAATAATGAATCCAAGGCAATAACCAAAGCCCTACAGATAGAATAAAAATATTGAGGTATGGATGCACGGTTTGGGATTTCTAATAAATTATTTTGTTATGATTACTTCAACACACAGGAAATAGTTCTTATGCCACATGACTTTAGCAACAAAATAAACTCCTAATGTTCCTTCACACTTTCATACAGAGCTCCTAACTATTAACTGCTTCAAAGAGGCACAACCTTCTGTTGAGTTGATCTCTAATGCTCAAAACAGCTTCAAAACATGATACAAAGAGAGCTTTCAGCTCATCAATGAAGAAACCTCTACTGAAGGCTTCTGCCCTTTAGGCTTCACTATTTGTTGTTTGATGCAGAATCTGCAGTAAAACCCCCTACACAAACTCCCAACAGAAAATAAAGATGGCTCAAAATAGCAGGGATTAGAGATATTAATGAGAATGGTTTGAAAAAGCAAACAGCAAACGGCAGGAATTGAACTTATGCTGAAAGCAACATTATCTGATTATACAATTTGTACAGCAATTGTTAAAATCATCACTAGCGTAAAATCATTGTATTACACTGTGTTTCATTTTTCACTCTTTCCACTGCTTTGTGTAAATTCATGTCTAGTTAGAACTCTCTTCTTTTTTTTTCTACTTTTTCTTTTTCTCGTTGTTGTATTTTTAGTAGAATAAGGGTGAATAAAAGAATGAATGAATGAAAGAATGAATACTCTCATCAACTCTAATCTGCAGATACCAGGGTATATTATAAACTGATTGTGTAAAGCTAGGTGGGAGAAAATAAATTCTCAAATTGGGCGGAGTTGCGAAGTGACAGAGCACTGATACATGTACATATACAACCGCTAATTTTATAACCGCTTGATCTACTAATCTAGCGATCTACCGAACCATCGATTTACGTATTAATGAAATCAAACAATTAATTTGGCAAGTGAGATTTACTTCTATCACGAATTGTAATGACGTAGCTACATCACTGGTGACTTAGTGCATGGTACACCAACTGCAAACAAATTTAACTACGGTTAAACGCGACCAACGATTGCATAACTCGACGAAGAAAAGATAATCACACGGAGACCTTTCTTGCCCGTAAATATTAATAAAAATGTGACACTAACCGTGGGAAAGGTCTTCCCCTGTTTAAGAAATAATGTGAACAGGACCAAAAACAACCAAATGCTGCTGTATTTCTCAGAAAAGCCATGTAATGCAACATTTAGCGCATGAACGGCAGAAATACGATAGGCGTTCCTGGTGTATGAAATATAGAAGACTGGGCGAAAGGGTTTGAGTTCTCCGTTCTTAGTGATCAGCGTTAGTAAAAGTTGGTGTGTACAGTTCACGAATAATGACTTGATCTTTTGACAACAGATCGGTTGGGTATTCGTTGATGTTTCTGCAGAAATCATTGAAGTTTGCCTCTTTTATGTAACTCGAATAAGAAGATTATTTTGCAATAACATAACCACGGTACACATTGACACTGGAGTTGGCAAATAGTTTGATAATGAAAATGAGGTAAGCTGAGCTTTGCTGATATCTCATACTCGTTTTGTGAGACTTCGATCCGTCGGCGTAATTACTTTTAAAACCGCCGGTAATGTTTTTCCGAATGATTGTAAGTCTGAGTTACGAATCCAGGAAAATTTGAACTTCCTAGCCCGCCATGACACCCCAAATTGGGGTGTGCACCATCCTTCTCGTTTAAGGCGTCGATCGATCATGTCACGAAAATTATCATGTCACGAAAATTGTCGTGTTTTGGAAAAGTGGTATTCCCGCCAAAATTTGAAACGACTCAACCTAGCTAGGCTGGCGATCTTTACGTTTCCACTGGAGTTTTTTTCTAATTTTAGAGCAAAATTCAAATTTGTGAGCTTGCAAGCCGCACATGTTATGAGTTTATAATGATGCATAATTAATTGTAAAATGGATTAAGTCTACTCGACAGAATTCATTCTGAACATGCCCCCCCCCCTCCCCCTACATCGACTTTTACGTAAAATGAAACTATGTTTCGGTAGGCATTTTCCATGAAAAGGTAGGAAATTGAGACAATTTTGCCTCTTTTTGAACACTTTTAGGGTTTCGTGTTCACGGATCGTTGGTTTAAGAGTGTTTCACCATCTGGCTGCAAAAGTGATTTATTTTGGCTGCAGAGGATGTTGACTTTCTGAGTCTTTATTGAACACACCCCTTCAGCTGGCTGGTATGTTAGTTGATAATGTCCGTGGCAAAGAGGACAAGCTCTCAGTTAAGGACATTATCAGCTGGCATACCAGCGAGCCTGAAAGAGGTTTATATATGGCCCCTCCTCCCCTTTAATTTTCATACCTTGCAAAAACTGCATATAAAAAACCCAGGGTTCATGGCAGATGCATATATGCAACTAGCTTTTTAATATTACTATCACTGAACTCTACAAAATGAGTTTGCTTATTGATCATGTGAAGTAATGGAGATAAAACCATGGAAATTTTGAGCTGGCTTTCTTCAATGGAAATAATGCAAGGAGAAATATTGATGCAAATGGGGGTTAATACATGATAACTGTCCAGTGATGTAAAGTAGCCACTAAAATTGTGTAGAAATTGATAGTTTGCTCACAACAAGAAATAAATTAAAATCTTACAGCAATTAAAGTATTCTCAATGAGAGTGGGGTCAACAAATTGATCGATCTACAAACAGGTTTAAAGGTTGTCATGGGGATGTGATCCAAAATAAAAGAAAAATGGCAAGATTTTGGCACAGCCCCATACTTTATTATGCATACAATTCTGGGTTAAAGACAACAATGGAAAAACAATAGATTGCCTTTGATACTTAACTGCTTTGTAATGGTAATACTAGGACTGAGTAGAGTTCAATACAGTCTGTCATCAGAGGAGTGATGAACAAAATCTCATTACCATGAAGTAGGAGTCAAATTTCTTAATTATGAGTGTGATTATGGTCATATCTGGACAACATGAAGTCCTGTTACCAATAATTATAATAAATCAAATTTATGACAATATTTGAGAAACAAGCTATGTTAACTGTTATATATATTTATTCATAAAAAACATCAGGAACTGGGCAAAATGCACAACTTAAGCGCACATACATGAGGCATATAATTCGTATTTCACAGGCATGACATATAATGTCCAATTACAAGTACCGGTATAATGCCAATACTGTCTTATTCAATTTTATAGTTTTAGAAAAGTATAGTTATGAGGTTATGTGGAAATCACTTCAAAAATATTCCAAGATTTCAAATTTTCAGAAGTTTCAAAACTGCTATGAAGCTTTTGGGTTGAGATTCCTTGGTATAATATTATACGAAACACCTTCAAAGTGATTTTTTTTTGTTTTGCAGTGCCATCTTCTTTTTAATACAGAGCTGTATTTTGTTTATATTCTTGTTTTGCAACTCAGTGGAAAGCTCAAGAGGTGATAGAAGTTCCAAATTTCATCATTGTATTAATACATGTTTCAAAGGATGTGACCTTGATGAGTACCCTGGAAAGCTGCCAATATACTTGACTCTGTTTTGGTGGGATTGCCCCGATGAGTGCAAGTACCAGTGTATGCATAATATCACACAAAGTGATGTGAGAAATAATCGACCAGTCAAGCAATATTACGGCAAAGTAAGGGACTTAATTGAACGCTGATTCTGCTGTAGTGCCTTAACTTAGAGATAAAGTAACCATAACTATCATAGGACCCCTACAGCCCTATGCGTGCAATCCCATTAAAAACCATTGTAAAAGTTAACATGTGTAGGACCAGGTGGGTTGACTTGAGCTGGTCCTGAAAAAGCCAACCAATCCTGGACTCACATGGCTTTGTTGCAAAAACTGAAATGAAAAAAAAAATGAGTTTAAATATTCACATTTTTTCAATAAATTGTGAGTTTCTTGTGCTGACTTAAAAAAGGAGAAAAAAGTTTTTATTGAAGAATATTTTTTTGTGATGTCTTAAGCATGTGCTCGTCTATCAGATACTATTTAGATCAAACAAAATTTTCAAAATTTTGAGACATACAGTGGTCATATGCTGAAATACCCATTGACTGAGTTTGATCAGGCTAGATAGGAAAATATTTGGCTCTTGATCATGACACACAGACCTTGCTGCACTTGGTCTGTATGTCATTAACTCCCACCAAATATTTTCCCCTCCAGCTCTCAACAAGTACATATTAAAAGCTGTGTGTTATGCCTTTTTACCTGTCTCTCTTTCTTTCCTTCACTCTGTTATTTTATTTGTTCATTTCGTTTTTTTTTTTTTTTATAATTATATATATATTAACCAAGCTTTTGACTTTTTATCTATTAACTATTTACTGCCCATCAATATCTGCATTCTTCGTACTCTTCTTTATACACATCCTTTGGGGCTGACAAGGAGAATTTGTTTAACGATCAAAGCTTCTTAGATTGGTGATCATTTTCTTTATTCTCATTATCTTGCTGAATCATTCAGCAGTATTACTACAAGGGGAAATCAAACACTGATCATGCTTGGGATTTAAAGGGTTAAAATAGTTATAAGATAAATTTACTCATTAGTTAACAAATACACGTAACTAGCTTAGGATTGTGAAGGTGCAGTCTGATCGTCCGGGTGAGTGTAGTCCTGAGAAGGACTGTTGTTGGTGGTAGTGACTGACGTTTTGAAATCCTGTGCGGAAGTCATTATCAGAGTCAAGTGAATGATTGTTGTCAGTAACTTAGGATTGCTTATAGACACAGTAACTAAAGATGATTTCATCTTCTGAATTTTAAGTGGCCATTTGTAAGATTTCTCGGAATTCAAGAGCCTGCGTCTGTCTTATTTTCAATTTTTAATGCAATTGGCCATCTTCTTGGATGGAAGATGCTCAGGTCTACAGTTCCAAACTCAAACTACAGCATGCATCTAGTATGGAAAGCAAATTTGGTGGTATGGCTGATTTGTTTTGTGATTCTGATCCAAATATGGTAACGTGTGAGAAATTAGAAAAGGTAACTTGCAGCCTTTTTAGGAGTGTTTAACTTACAGATTGTATTTATTGTGAGTCCAACCTTGCCTGAGAATTTCTTTAAGCCAGTTGTGACACAATTCAAGGCACCTTGGAAATAAATAAAAATTGAGCATCCATCATGTGTCCAACAGTTTCAAGAAAGATTGCTCAAAAAATTATGACCAGCCATGATTTCTTATTATATATCAATGATTCAGAATTAGTTTCTAAACTTGTAGGAATTTTACATAAGAAAGTAACAGTTATTGAACAGTGAGGAATTAAATTTCATTTTTAACTATCAAACGGTTTTTTTGTAGGTGAGTCTAAATGCTTGGTTCTGGTCAACAGTTTTTCATACACGGGATTTTAACTGGACTGAGGTAAACTCTCTTCCTCTATGTGGGGCTCGACACTAACTTTTCAACTTTCTAGCCATGTGGCTAGTGACAACTTAGATGTTACAACAATTTCAGTTTGTTTTACTAGCCAAACTGGCTAGTGGAAATCAAAAACCACTAGTTTTTGGTGAGGTTGCTACAGTTAGTGTTGACTCTGCCCTGACCACAAGCATTCAGTGTTCTGACAGTTTGATAAGGGTTAGGACTATCTGCAATGCACACTGTGGTAATACTAGGACTGAGTAGA